CCCCCCCCCTGTGGGTGCTGGGAAAATAACCCAGATCCTTTGGAAGAGCAGCCAGTGAGTGCTCTTAACCACTGAATCATCTCTTCAGCCCCATAAACATATTTTAAACCAATTATTTGGTGTATATATAATTCTATCATTTATTAAAGATGAAAGCAAATTTGTATACTAATGAGATGAGTGTGCTCATTTTTTACAGAGATGTAAATCTTGGCTGAATATTTAACCTGCAGGGCATCATCTTCAGTGATTTTCGGAGTTGATTGATAGTTTGATGTTATAACCAATGCTGAAAATGTTGCTTTGCATAAGTACACAGTGCAAAGTGTCCAGGCTACTTTTTAGGGCCATTTCAAAAACTGCTGGAGGTACTGTCATATACTCAAGACAAAAATCACCTGAGGCTTTTCTTTCTTTGTTTTTTTTCTTTTCTTTTTTTTTTTTTTTTTTTAAGAAATTGGTCAAATAGCAGTGTATAAAATCAACGATTCTAACAGTGTATTGCACAGATAGTCTGGTACCCACATGCTGTGGAGTGGCGGTGAGAAAATTCTTCAAAAGCTGTTCTTTTTCCCTAATGAGGAGAAGCGCTGTGTAAGGGCAGTGAGTACAAAGTGTGCACTTTATGTTAGAGCCGAGGCTGTAGCCAAGTCAGGTGACCTCACTGCTCCTGTGTGGCAGGTTTTGGATTAAGTGTCCAGAGCCAGGACTACTGATAGGCTTTTCATGACCCTCACATTCATTTATAGGTCCCAGCCTACAGGTTTAGAAACTGGGTTTTAGGCTTGCTCTTGAGTGACTTAACTCAGTGTCTGGGGACTGATCACCAGTGTGTGCCTCACCAGTGTAGGCTGAAGTCCATTCCTTTCCTAAGGCTCACTCTCTACTTCAACACTTTGTAATTTCTGAACTGATTATATCTTCCTTATGAAAACTGGAGCAAACTCTGCTTTCATTTTTGCTAGCGCCACTTCTTTCCCCTGTGGTTAAGAAAGCAGACTTTGCTAGTGCTGCAACCATGGCTCAGTAAAGAGCGCTGGCTGTATGTGCAGAGGACTTGGGTTTGACCGCCGTGTGGCAGCGCATAGCTGTCAGATCCACAGGGGATTCTTTTCTGGCTTCTGAGGGTAGCAGGCATGCCCTTGGTACGTAGACATACTCGGAGGCCTAATACTCAGACACACAAAATAAAATTTAGGAAGAAAGAAAGCCAGCTTTGGGCTAGAGATAGTTGGGAATGCTTACCCAGCTTCAGTTCCTCTGTACTTCCCTGTACTTAGCTTGCAGTTACCTGTAACTCCAGCTCTAGGGGATCTGAAACCCTCTTCAGACCTTCAAGGGTTCCTTCCTGCGCACATGTGGTCCACCAAACCAGAACAGGCACATGTATATACATACAAAAAAAAAAATGCATCTTAAGAATGAAAGCAGACTTTAGTGTTAAAGTTCGAATTCAACTTCAGACTGTGGGCAAGTCATTTCCCTGATGGAGTGCTCATCTGTAATGTGAGAGGCCCCCAGTTCAAATCCCAGCATGGTAACAACTCTCCCCCTCCCCAGAATTTCAGCACTTGGCAGGTAGAGGCAGAAGGATCAGGAATTCAAGGTCATCCTCAGCTTCATAGAATGTTTCAGGTTATGTGAAACCCTGTTTCAAGAAGAAAGAAAAGAAGACAAAACAGAAAAGGAAAGACATACCTCTGCTTATTAACTGTTAACTTATTAGCATTTTCCCTTCCATGTAGTAGTTTATTATATGTGTTCTTTTTTTCTGTATCTCCTTTTAAGCTTAATACGATATTAGGAGTTTAAAACTGTGTCATCTTTGTTTGAAAAAAATACTCATTTAAGTCTGGGGAATGACTCAGTTGGAAAGTGAAGGCAGGAGGACCTGAGTTGGGACCTGCAGCACCCACATTAAAAGAAGGGTGTGACAGTGCATTCCTGTAACACCAGCACTGAGGTTGGAGGAGGAGTCAGCAGAGCGGACACACATTGTCCAGCCTGTGAGTTCCAGGTTCTCCGGGAGACCCTCACAAGTACATGTTTATATACGCTGTACTTAAGTCCCTACATGCCCATTTTAATGGTTGAATAACCCTATAATTGTGACCCATAATTAATCATATCTCTGTCAGCCTTTCAGGTCATCACTCTTTATGCTAAAAGCTTTTTCAGAATCTCTCGTTTCTTTGTTAGGATTAGTTCCAGATCTAAATTCTCAAGTCCAGGGTTGTGCATGATTTTATAAAACAAGATTTGATTGATCTATGAGACCAAAATCAATGAGATGGAGGGTCCTACCCTTTCCTCTATCATTTGTGGTAATCCTTTTGTTTTCATTTGTGCTATGAATTGTATCATTAAGTCTTTGTTTTGTTTGTTTGAACTTTTATCTTCCAAGTTCAAGTCATATTTGAATTTTACATTCACAAACTCATGTTCTTGGTACTCAGATTGTTCTTTTTAAGTGTTCTCTTGAAGAAGGTTATGTGTATGTAGGGACATTGGCAGCTTGTAATGCTTTAGTGATAGACATTTAACTGTAGGGTGGGGGAATGGAGGCGGGGACCTTGGCTGGTTCTGTTTTCAACTTTTGCTATTTCTTCATGTAATATTTTTTTCAGATACCCTTTTTAACTGGTACATATAACTAACTCTAGGTTAGGGTCTCAACATCTGTCACAAGCTTGTACTTCAGCTAGCTCTTTTATGACTCATACTATATTTAAATATTGTTTAATATTTAATATATTTAAATAAATATTTACATATAGTATGAGACTAATCATACTAATATTTTATAGGCTAAAACATGGGATCTTTTTATCCTGTTTCTTTTTAGGACCACTACCCTCACATTAATCAACAGGCACTTGTAGGAATTCCACAAGATCGGCTTTAATATAAATCTGTTCCCTTATAGCTTAACTTTTTTAGCTTTTAAAAAATGAAAAAAGGGGAAACTAGAATAGGTCTCAAACCAAAAATTGCATGAGTATTTCTGGTAAAAATAAAGATCTATCATTTTTTTTAAAAACTATGTTAATGGATTTTGAATTCTAGTATGTCTTTGAGTGTTTAAGAATTACTGCCTGGGTTTCAAAAGCCTATTTAAACATATCTGGGTTTCATATGCCACTTCAACGAAGAGAGAAGACCCAGCACAGCACCCATAGGACCCGGTCTGTGCTATGTCCAGAGTATTACAGTATACAGGTGATGCAGATGGATAACATATGGTGCTTGCTGTATGTATTTACAACTGTGTCTCATTTCATTTCTTTAAGATCTGGACGCTGGTAGTTGGCTATGTGCTGATGGTTTCATTCAAGTGGAATGCAAGCACTCAAGGCTACTTGAGAGCAGTTTCGATTCCTGTCTGGATGATACTGCTTTTTCATATAGGTGGGTCCTTTCTTCTTTTTCCTTCCTAGAACAAACACCCAATAACTGTGTTTAGGGTTATCAGGGGCTGACCAATGAAAGTGGGTTCTTTGTATGTTACATATAAGATTCTTTAACATAATCTGTAGAAAATGTTGAGCTTTGAGCTTTCACTAATCCTCAGTGAAAATACTCTGCTTTCAGATGTTGATCTTAATGTTCCTATGCATTCTCTTAGTAAGTCCTTGAAGAGTAAGTGTGTCTCAGACCGTCTAGCTCACTTTGCAAAGTGTGGTGAGCTTGGGGAAGAGCTAGATTGGCACACAAGGATGAGCAAGGATGATAAGAGGCTTGGGCCTTGAGGGACTGGAGAAGAGTTTTGCTCTGGGAAAGAAGAAGCGCCTGGCGCAGGAATGGGGAAGAAGTGTGGGCAAGAAGAGTGCATGGAATATGAAAACCTCTTTCTGAAAGGTGAAGGACTGTCTGTCCATCCTTGTGAAAGAGTGGCTTAAGCAGATCTGAGATCACAAGGGAGAGATGCCAGAGCTTCAGGGAGCCTCAGGAAGACAGTTGACAGCTCCACGGAGACGGTCGGAGTCAGGACTGTTCAGTCATGAATTTCCTGTTCTGTGGAGCAGCTCACTGTTAGCTGGGGAGGTGCTGTTGCTGCTTAAAGCTTTTGAATGGCTTTTCAGCCTGACTCACATGATTGGGCAAGAATTATTTCTAAGTCTGAGTTGATGGAAATAATAAGTTCTCATTTAAAAACACAATAATTGAGTACACTGGAACAGCAGACAACCTAAAGTCATTTTTAGAGTTAATTATTTTTATAAATTGCCACAACAATTATAAAAGCAAGAAAGCAGCAGCCAAGCCCAGCTACTGAAGCTGTGCTTGCTCAGTGTCTGATTTTACTAGTGCATTCTGCAGGTTTGCTGAGTTGGAACCATGAGTCTTATTTGCAAGCTCTCCTGATGGTGTGACTCAGGTTGAATTTGTGGAAATCGGAGGAGGGGTTCTCACATGGGCTCAGGGAAGGCAGGTGCTTGGAGACTTAGCTGTGAACTGTGGGAGCAATGGCTACAGACTTTAAATTTGTTGGGTCCTTTTTGAGACTTGAGTTCAAATCTAGTGATGTTTTCAGAACATCAGGCTGGCTGCCTGACATGAGGGTCAGTGAATGACTCTTCATCATAGTGTCAGATGCTACAGAGGTTGAACTTGAGTTTGGGGTGATCTGAAACCTGTGGTGTGTGGGTGCATATGATGGACTCGAGACTGACCGCTTAAAGGTGGGCTGGCACGTGCCTTGACGTTTTGAGAACAAGAATGAATCTGTCCTTGAGTTAAATCTACCTGTCTGAGGGCCTTTTAAAAACACTTCCCCTGTGAAAGAATTTTCTAATTTGCATGCGTATCAAATTTCTCTGTTAACTAAAAATATTCTTAATTTTCAGCATCACTGGCTGGCTCATGGAGAATTCCAGTTTTCCTAGTTATTGTTTTCTTGATGTCTGTGGGCACCCTTTATGAAAAACAGAATGGGAAGGAGTCTGCTGGTAAGAAGTATTCTTTTATGAGTATATTCTTAGTATTTTTGGGAAGCTAACTGTCTTTATTGCTATGGTTAAACACCATGACCAAAAGCAACTTGGGGAGGAATGGGTTTATTTCATCTTATAACTCTCCAGTCAAAGGTCATACTTTATCACGGAGAAGTCAGGGTAACAACTCAAGGCAGATGCTGATGCAGAGGCTATTGCAGACTGGCTTGCTCTCCATGGCTTGCTCAGCCTACTTTCTTACAGCACCCAGGACCACCTGCCCGGGATGGCCCCACCCACCATGAGCTTGGCCTTCCTATACCACTTGTCAATCAGGAAAATGTACCACACGCCGTCTGGGGAAGGAATTCTCTCAGTTAAGGTTCTGTCTTCCCAAATAATTCTAGCTATGCCAGGGTGACATAAAACTATAACTTACCAAAGAACTTAACAAGCACAATAATTTATCCCCCCCAATCAAATTATCTAAAATGTTTTCAGTTTTTTTGGGCCATGTTCCTATTTTGTATCTTTATTATAATAGTTAATATAAAATTAGCTGTCAACTGTTACAAGGTAGCATTTAGCACTTCCTAGTAGTACTGTGTAGCCACCACTTCTGTCTACTTTTACGATATTTCTTACCACTCTGAAAGGAAAACCTGTACATCTATCAGTACTGTATTCTTCTTTATGGCTGAATAATATTCCAACTCACAGACATCCCACATTCTGTTTGACATTTTTTCACAGGTGTTTGGGTTATTTTCAACTTTTGGGAATTGTGAATGCTGCTGCTATGAAGCATATTGTACAAGATTAGCTGTTTATTCTTTAAGATTTCAGTCTCCTATTGTGGCCTGTCTTCTTGTCGTGATGCTTGAACCCCAGGGCCTGTATGGAAGACTAGAGTGGAACAGTGCTTGGTAGCTTCCACTTGTTCTGCTGGGTTTTACCTTCTTGTTCCTTTCTTTAAGTGTCAGTGACTAAAACAGGTGTAGGCACCCTTCTCCCTCGTTCTGGGTTGGCTTCCTTTTCAGCTACTTCTGTAGAGTCAGTCGGGCAACCTTATCTTTTTATAGGTTTCTTGTCTGTGGATTCAACCATCTGAAAATGGAAAATATTTTGGGAAAAATGACCTTTATTTGAGCATGTAAAGACTTTTTTCTTGTCATTTTTATATGTGCAGTGCAGTATTACAACAATTTTGTGGCATGTACATGTTGGATATTCTTCGTAATCTGGGGAAGATTTAAAGTGTATGTGAGGATGTGCATGCGTTATGCACTAACGCTGTCATTTTATATGGATTGGTATATACAGGAGGCCAACAACTGGTCCCTATGATACTGAGGGCCTACTGTATGAGTAATACAGAGCTCCACCAAAGGATTTCAGGCCCTTCTTTCCTGCCGAGGTATAAATTCTAGTCGCCCAGTTAACAGCACTTAGAGAACTCTTGAGAGCAAAAATTTAGAACCAGGTTTTATATGTCGGGGGGAAGTGAGTCTGAGGTCTGCTATTATTGCCAGGCATCAACACAGACTAGGGTGTTGGTATGCCAGCCTGTTTTCTGATGCCTCGGTTATTGACTCACAGGAAAGATGTCACTGGGACATCGTTGTAATCAATGCAGAGAACAGCTTTGGAGATAGTGATTTTCCTGCTTTGTTTTACTCTCTGTCCTGCTTTAAAGCAGGTTACTGTTGACCTTAGAACACACTCCGTTATAAAGTAAATCTCTTCAGTGCTTTTCTAGAGGCCTAGATATTTCTTCCTCATGTTCTTAACATTTCTCTGTAAATCAGACTGAAGCCATCTGTAAGGGGGCAGCCCTCCCTGGTGTTTCTTTTCCTCCTGCAGATGATGCTATAATGTGGCTGGTACAGGAGTGCTTCAGTGAACTGCTCAGCAGGGCCTGCTCTCGTCCTTCCTGCTCTTGAACTTGTGTGAGGTCACCTGTGAATGGCCTGCTTTGCATCACCTGGGCTGATTAGGAGCTTTGTGAGCCACAGCTTGATTATACTTGTAGCATTAATCGTTTGGATTTCATTAGAATTCAAAGTCTAAGTTTGTTTGGCTCTTGGACCTGGAAAGTGAGTTTATTTCAACAGTTTACTCTAAACTCAGGGGCTTGACTCTTGGGCCTGGGGAACTCTTGGGTGGTGTTTCCTGGAACGCTAAGTCATGCAGGGAAAAATGTTTTCAAGGTTCTCCCTCTGAATATGAATCTTTTGGAATAGTTTTAAATTTATTTTTATTATTCTGTGTATAGGTGTTTTGCGTGCATGTGTGTCTACACCATATACTTGCAGTGCTCAAGGAGGCCAGAAAAGGTGTCAGATCCCCCAAACTGGAATTATAGATGGAGCCTCAAAGTGGGTGCTGGGAATTGAACCCAGGACTTCTGGAAAAGCAGCCAGTGCTCTTAATCACTGAGCCATCACTTCACCTTTTTGAGGTACTTTTAAATGGGCTGTCTTAGAAATCCACAAAAAACAGCAAAGCAAACAAGCAAAACACAGGCAAACCAAACAAATGAAACTAAAATGATGGTGCCTCCATTTGTTGATGAAGATGTTTCATTTCAGAGGTAATTGAGGCACCTCCAGTCACACAGGTGGAACTGTGATTTACACCAAGGTCCTTGACTCTCAGCCCCATTATCTTTACCTTTTCTTGCCAAGTTGAATAAGCAGGCATTAGTCATAGTGAAAATTAAATGTTAAAAATCCCACTTTATGGCAAATAAGACCCCCCTCCAGATATTTATCAATAGGTGAGTTCTAGTATAAGTTGAAAGTATAATTCATTAATTAAAGAAAAACCAAACATCATTAAGTTCTTGTTGTGTACTTTTTATTTTTAATACAGGTTATAAAGTTGACCATGGAATAAAATATTAGGACATATTACATTTTGGTTATTAATAAGTAGGGAAGCCAGTCTGTTTTTACAAAAATACATCTTAAGACATCTTCCCTTAGTCTATAAAACTCAAGCTCAACTTCAGGATAATTAATAATGTATGCCACAACATAAGGAGTGTTAATACAGCTGTGAGAACTGAATTAGCTGATGCAGACCACTCAAGGAGCATGTGGAAAATGTTTGTGCATGACAAGGGTCTAGGGCACACACAGGAGAGATCACAGTGCAGTACAGGTCTTGTTTGTTTGGCTCTGCCCTCTATTACTTTGGTGTAGGCAGGCAAGATGCTATCTTTGCCAGTATTAGTATCTTTTTAGTTTCTCTTAAGCCCATTTAAGACTTCTGTTTTAGGACCAAAATTTTATAGTGCTTACAAAAGGAAGAACTAAAAGCTGGCCTTTAAAACAATGGCAAAAATACATAGACTGGCTGGTTTGTAATTTGCTATTGATTTAGATTCTATATCTATAATGTAACTCTCATATTATCCCGCCACCTGCGCCTCATCCTGCTTCATTCTTTCATCTGCTTGTTTTAAGCAGAAAGGTTGGCAAAGCACTGCAAATACCATAAGCTTAAGATTAAAATGAGCTTAAAGGATACATTTTCAAGTGTCCAAATATAATTGTCTGCTTCAACAAATTCCTCTCAAATGGTTAAATTTTCATTAACAGAATCAAAACCAGTCAATTTTAGAAACTTTAAAAAAGCATCAACAGCCGACATTCTTCCCCACTTGTAGTTGTCATTACCTCTCGTGTTCCGGTAGCCCAGTCCATCACTTCTCTGCCCAATAGATACTGTTCCACTTGGTAGAAAGCTACTGTTTTAGTTTATTGTTGTCTTTGGCTAGACCACTTTGTAGTCCTTTGCTCAGGCTGGGTGATGTAATGGGATACCAACAATGTTCTGAGGGTAGGAGTCTGGTATCAAGTTGCCAACATTTGGTGGCGCACCTTCTCATTGCAACATTACATGACACTATTAATACATGGCACCTCTTAATACTGTTACAGTGACAGTTACATTTCAACATAAACTTGGGATGGGACAAACATTCAAACACCACCCCAGGAAAAAAGTGTTACTATATTTCTTGGCCTATAGAGAGAGGAGAATAGCAGCATTATTCTTACTAATCCTGGTGGTGTTTAAACATGCCATCCTATTTTTTAAAGCAATCCAGTGACATTCATTTATTGTATACATTCCATACTTGGATTGAGAGATTTGTTCTGAATATGAGATGTGGCTCCCCAAAGTAGGAAAAGCAAGGACTGGAAGGTGGCTCAGTGGTTAGGAGCACATCCTGCTCTTTCAGAGGACCAGAGTTCAGTTCTCAGCACCCATATTAGGTGGCTCATAGTTTCCTGTAACTCATATTTGGCTCCATGGGCCCCAGTGCCTTCTTCTGGCCTTTGTGGGAATCTGCATTCACATGCGCATACCCACACATGGGCACCCCTCCCACACAGGCACAATTGAACGAGTAAAAATAAGGAGCTGGAGGGATGGCTTACTGAGCACTTAGTACCGGCTCCTGCTCCCGAGGTCAGGGTTCTGTTCCCAGCACCCACATGGCAACTCAGAACCATTTGTGATTTTAGTTTCAGGGGTTCTGATGCCTCTGTGGGCACTGCATGCATGTGGTGCAAAGACCACATTCAGGTGTAAAGCCATAAACATTAAAAAAATAAAAAGAAAAGAAAAAAATAATAAAAATAACCTTTCTTTTTTTTTTTTTTTAAGTAGGAGGAACAAGCTTCAAATGTGTCTCTAATGCCAAATGCTGCTTAGCCTGGAGCAGTAGGCACACTTGGCAGCTGTCCTCCTAGTAACCATTAGAAATACCTTTGCAGACTGAGAGGCGGTGGCGCACGCCTTTAATCCCAGTACTTTGGAGGCAGGGGCAGGTGGTTCTCTGTAAGTTTGAGGCTAGTTTGGTCTATAGAGTGAGTTCCAGGACAGTCAGGGCTACATAGTTGAGACCCTGCCTCAAACAAACAAACAAACAAACAAAAACAACAAAAGAAATACCTTTACAGGGAAGTCCTTTAGTTGATTTAACTGCTTGGAGAGCATAAGGTATAAAAGAACCTTGGTCCAGTGAAGCCCAGATAGAAAAAAGAAGAGGAGCAAAGTCAACTGCTCATGTCCTAGTCTGCAGTTATGACTGTCATCTTCGTAGCCTATAGGAGCCTGCTGTTTGCATCCAGGTTGTGTGCACTAGAAGCTGTTGAAGTTGTGTTCTCCACATCACTGAGGGAAACAGCCTTACAGGTCACTACAAGATAGTAGTTCATGTGTGCAGTACCTCATGCTAGCAGCAGGCATTTTTGGTTTTTCATTGCTGTTTTGGAAGAACAGAGCAAATCAAGAAGTAGCTCCTTATTTATACGCATATCAACGTATGTTTTTCTGTCACACTGAAAAATTAATCTGCTAATTGTGGACTTAGTTGCATTAACTCTGAGTTTCTGTCTGATCTCTGGCCTTTGGTCTTTGGCAGCTCCCTCTATACTGACCCCGACCCCCGGGCAGATTGATACTTAAAACCTTGGCTGTGCTTCCCACCCCCAGTCCTTGAGGCCAAGATTTTGTACCCTTGTTTAAATGCCTATTTTTAACTGGTTTTAAAATCTAGTATCATGACCTTATCTAGAATCTCGTTCCTGTCATTCATCTGTTAAGACCTTGGTCTTTAAAGTGCAGAAACATACTATGTAGATACAGTTCATTAAAATGTGAATCTGTTAGATAAGAGATGTTACTAGGTCTGGGAGGTCCATGATTTTCAAGTGCCTTTTGTTGGTTTTCTCTGTGTGCTACACCTTTGACATGTGTGCAGTATGAGGCTCTCTAATCACTTGTGTCACCCAGAATGTTTCTGCATTCAGAGACTTTTATGTGTATCTTTTCACTCCATTACATCCAAATTGGAATATATATGGAGCGCATTTCACCTGTGAGGAGACAAGGCATGTGGTTGTCGAGGATTCTTCCATCACTGTCAACAAAGTAAGAGCTGAAGTTTACGCCCAGGTGTTCTTGCTCCCTCACCTGCATCCCCAGCCCTTGAAGTATCCTTCCTCCATGTAAAGAAACTCTACACATGATCTCCCTACTTACCACTTTGATCTCCATCTTTCAGATACCTGTCCACCCCCTCACAGACCTGTGTTCTGGCATTACTGGACTGCTTAAAGCCTTTGAAGAGGACACTGCTTTTCTTTGTGGCTTCTTTTGCCTTTTTGTCTGGGGACGTGTTTCTACCACCACTGTGTCAGCTCCAATTTCTCCGTTTGTCCCTAAGATAGACTTGTTCTGATTCTTTATGTGGCTGCTGTTGTTTAAGTGAGTTAAAGAATAGCATTATCTAGTGTTCTTGAGAGAGAGCTCCTCTGGAAACTGTCCCGTGGGCTCTAGCATGGATTAGGTTTCCATCCTTTGTGCTTTTCAAACATTCTACACTCTTTGGCATTAATTTTAACATATTGATTGTACCTGATTGTTTTAGCTTTACATGGAATGTGAGGTTAGGGTCTTGGTCACTTATGTAAGACTGTGGCCCAGACTCTTCTTAAATGAGTAAATTTAAGAATCACCATGAAAGTTGCTTTTTAGGGTATCTCAGGTGAGCCTCCTTTTATAATTCTTATGCAGAAGTCTGTGTCTCTGAACTGACTTGCTCAGTTCAGAGGAGAGAACACTGGCTTATTTTACATTTTTACTGGAAGTTGTCTCACACACACACACACACACACACATACACACACACACATTTTCTTCTTTATTCGAGTTATTAGGTGTCCCCGTTATTTTATTTGGGTCCTTCCTGAGATATCTGTCCTGAGCACATTACTGAGACTCTAGTCCTGTCCTATCTCTGCTGTAGTCAGTTTGTGTGACTTCTATCGGTAAGTTTTAGAAAAACTTCAGTCTCCAAAATCTTCACCCTGGCCCTTTACAGTTCCCTGTTGGATAATCTGGGGGCCACCTTTGCCTGTGATCTGTCAGTTTATCACTGAGTGAGTTCCTCTCAGTCCAGCCACTTATTACCCCCTGCAGATCACATCAGCTTTCTCCTCGTCCATCCTTCTCCAGAAAAGAATAATTTAGGTACATCTCAGAACTGGCCACATAGTTAGGGGGCAGTGGCAAGGATGTTTGTAGCGAGGAGACTGTTATATGGCTTTATCTTGCTGCTATCTTGCTCTATCTGTTGCTCTCTTGACTGGAATGTTGCACTATAGTTTTGCAAGATGTTGCTGTTGTGAGAAACTGAGTAAAAAGCATGCAGGGCCACATCTTAGAGCACAGATGAGTCTCTGTATATTGTGCTGTATTCTACAGGGAAGGATGGAGATTACTGTTCTGTTACAGTTCCAGTGCTTTTGTTTCTTTGGATAAAGACTAAAGCTCTCACTATGATCTCTGTAGCTAATGTCATTTGGCTTACTGGTTACAGCTCTGTTTATTTGGTCACGGTGTCTCACTCTCCGTCCATACTCTCAACATACTGACCTTCTTTTGCTATTGTTTGCATGTCAGCTTCTTTCCATAGCCTTCCTGCTAGCTTCCTCCTACCCTGAGGTTATTTTTGGCATTTATTTGGTTAATACCCTCTCCTCTCTTACAGTATCAATTATATTTACATTTTTAAAGAGAACTCTTGCCTTGGGGCTTGGAGGCTAAGAGCACTGGTTGCTCTTGCAGAGTACCTAAGTTCCATTCCTGGCACCTACATGGTGGCTTACAAATCTGTAACTCCAGTTCCAGGGGATCTTTTTGCCCCATGAGCACTGTCCACCTATGATATACAGACATACATTGCAGACTCAGCACCCATACACAATAAAAATAAATAAATCCAAGTTTGAAAAGAGAACCCTTCTCTGATTTTTCCAGATTATGTCAGGTTTCTTGTCTTAAGAGTTATTAAAATACCCACTTCATGTAATAGCAGTCATAATTTGTCACTTCTTTTGTGTAGTTTTTTAAAAATTCAGGTACTTAAGTACGCTCTGGGATTTGGAGTGTCTTTATCCCCAATACATGGTGTTAGTAAACAGTGAGAACATGTTGGATATAAAAGATACTTCCTCTTTCAGGTGATGCTTACCTTTTTTTATTGTTGAATGACTTGGTTGTATAGGTCAGGAGACTAAGGTCCCAGCATAGACATGTAGCTTATGTCTTCTTCCCAGACTGTGAATGAGAATTTCTCTTTGAGTGCCTTAAAACAAACTTCTTTCAGGTTATGAGCATTTATTGGAGGATGGGATAGGACACAGTTAAGCTGGTGGCTGCATTTCAGTGGCTAAATTGACTGAGCTACTTGATGCTCCGTCTTATCTTGAGAGATGGCCAGTCTTTAATTTGTGTATGGGGTTATTGGAACTAAAAATTCTTTGACTTACTGAAGGGTTGTGTTTTATTTTCCATGATTGACAGACTTCTCTGTTGTCAGGCTTTCTAAAAGTAAGGTCCTGTCTGTATGAGTGGCTGTGATTTGGTGATTAGAATGGCCAGTGTGGTTAAGATGTAAACTCCACTATAGCTGCTCTGAGTGGGAGGTACTGAGAAGCTTCTGGAAATTGTGTGTGTTTTTACGAAGGCAAACATCTACTCTATGACTGCATTGGCATAGATGGATTCAATACAGTCAAGGCAAGTGCTCAACAGCTATAGGAATGTAATTGGACAGGAGGCCATGGCTGCTGCTGTTTGCCATTACCTTAGAATTGAGACTTATGGAACTCTAGAACTTTCACTGTGTTGCTGTGGAAAAATTTCAGGCTTGCAGAGTGCTTGTTGTGGGAGCTATGTAGCATCCAAATGACAATGTGCCGTTCAGGTACCCAGATCTTGCGCAGGTGTACTTGCTTGGTGGGGACTGCTTTGCACATGACAGTTTGTTTGGGGAGTCTTAATAAATAGCCTCTACTGAGAAAAAAAGTACACCAGAATCTGGTGTTGCATATATATAGTCTGCCATAGCCTGCCAAGAGACAAAGACATACCTCATTGCCAGGAGATCAGTAGATGCTTGATTTGAATTCAGTGCAAATAATACAGTTTGGTATTATCCAGCAGAAATTTTACAGAGAAGCAAATGATGTTCTTTTAGATTTCCCAGTGGTGGATTTTTGTCTTTGTTGAAGTTTGTGCTTTGTAAATCTATGTTTTGTACAATATCTATCCACATATTTGCATGTGTTCATTTATGTAATGTTATTAATGTGGACAAAAATATGGGCTGTCCCAAACTGTATTAGAACCTAATAATACAAAATAGTATAAGACAGTTTAACACTGGGAGCAGTGGTGCACGCCTGTAATCCTAGCACTCAGGGTGGATCTTTGTGAGTTCAAGGCCAGCCTGGTCTGCAAAGTGAGTCTACGACAGCAAGGCTATAAAGAGAAACCTGTCTTGAAAAAAAAAATGAAAAAAAAATAAAATAGTTTAACCAGGGAGTTCTTAGACATGGTGTGCAATGTTTTCCAGTGGAAGTGTGAATTATTCTGGTAAATTAAAAAAAAAAAAAGAAAGCCCAGCATTTTGAAGTTATTTGTTGTGATACAATGTCTGCCATACTAACTATCGTCAGGTTCTCAAGTGAAGACAGGATGTTCAGGGACTTGGAGCTGATGATTTTGAGGTGCTCTTCCTTGGTAAAGACGTACAATGGCTATTCAAAGTAGTTTTGGTTTAACTTGGCAGGAGCTGGTTTTTGGTTTGTTTATTTGCTTAAAGGATTTAAAAAAATATGTGCTTCTTCCCCTACTCCCACACCTTACAGGTGCAGAATTACCAGGACAAGTGATCTCCATGGCGGCTTCTACTCTTGCAAACCTGGCCATCTCTATCACAGGGTATGAGTCAAGCACTGAAGACCAGCCCTCTGCTCCAACTGCAGGTGACTGACAAGTCATTCTACAAAATGAGTCAGAAGGAGGAAACAGTGAAGAAGAATACTGGCAGCACAAAATGGCCCTCAGGCTTGCTGGTCCTCTGTTGTTTTCATTCTCACTGCAGTTTTATAGCCTTTTCTCATGCTTCTGATTGCTTATCTTATGAGTTTCCTATCCTGGCTTTTCCCCTTGTCTCTTTTTAAAATATGTTTTTCTTATATTTCTCACACTACTTTTTTTCCCTTAGTGTGTCCCATTTACCGTCCATAGTTCCACTACAATTCTGTGTTCTCCTTATCTTGGTTTTTTATTTTTTGTTCCTTCTCCAGCAGTCAGTTCTATACCCCTCCCTCCCTCCCTCCCTCCCTCCCTCCCTCCCTCCCTCCCTCCTTCCCTCCTTCCTCTCTTCCTCCCTTCTTTCCTTCCTTATTTATGACAGGGTTTTTCTGTGTAGCCCTGGCTGCCCTGGAACTCACTCTACAGACCAGGCTGGCTACAAACTCAGAGATCTGCCTACCTCTGCCTCCTGAGAGCTGGGACTAAAGGCATCTGGCCCTCACCCTGCCATTGTCTTTATTTCTTCTTCTTCTTCTTCTTCTTCTTCTTCTTCTTCTTCTTCTTCTTCTTCGTCTTCTTTCTTCTTTCTTCTTCTTTCTTCTTCTTCTTTCTTCTTCTTCTTCCCAACTCCCAACTCCCTGTCTGCATCTAGGTGTTTTTCTTTTCCATATTTTATGCATTTTTTTTTTCTGACAGTCTTTCTTTTGTCTTTAAGTAAAAGTACAATTTTAATGCCTTATGCTGTATATATTTACTGGCTTCCCAAAGCAAGCCCTCTGGTTGTTCCATGGGGCCTGGCTTCTGTAAGAGCCAGCTGGTAGATTCATACCAGGTTTGGAGCCACACTATACCATATTTTCACAGAAGTCTGCACATCTGTCCTAGTGTGTGTTAAGACGTCCATCAGTGCCAGCGATAGTGAAGGTGGAAGAACATTACAGCCAACCCTTTTTTAAAGTGTGTAGGGTTAGTGTTGTGTGTACTGTGAGTATGCTCATGATACATGTATGCATTTGTATGACACCAGTGCTTTCCTTAGTCATTTTCTACGTAAAGTTTTTCAAACACCATCTTTCATGGAACCCGGAGCTTATCAGTTTTATTTGTCTTGCTTGTCAGTGGACTCCTGCAATCCCAGCATTGTAGTTACACATTGCAGCCCTTTTTACATGGATGTTGGGGATCCTAACCCAGGTGTTTGTGCTTATGTAATTTCCCAGGTGAGCCACTCTTCCATCTCCCGTATAGCAAGCTCATCTTGAAGAACTGACTCAAGATATATTTACGGAAGGCATAATTTAGGAGAAAGCCATGCAGAGTCATAGGAACACATGCTTTTCTGGTCCATGAAACTGAGTTTCCAAAGTGGAGCAGGATGAGACTTAGGTTATAGAGTTACTGTTCTGGCTTCTGTCATTGCCATCGATCAGGAGTTTCCAGATCAGACAAGCAGAACAAGGTCAAATGAAAGCATGTTATCATCTTCACTTTTAGCCTTGACCCATGTACACAGACACATGCAGGCAAAACGTCCATACAAATAAAATGAATCTTGAAAAATACTTGAGGAAAAGGAGAACATTTGCTGTCTCCCAGCAAGCCTGATTTCCCTAGACAAAAACCCTGATAGGGGTTGGTTTCTGCAAGTTTGTCTTTTTAACTGGACGGGATCCTGCTGCACATACCAGTGCAGTGTATTTTGTATTGTTATTGTCTTGTGTGGACTAAGACAGTATGTGACTATGTCTTTGTGTTTTTCTAGAGCCCACAGACAGGGGAGAGCCCCCTCCAGCATTGTCCACTTCTTCTTCATCCTCCTCCCGTTCCTCACCCTCTTCTCCTTCACCTACTCTGGGCAGACAGAGGCCTGAGATGGGAACGTTTCTCAGAAAGAAGAAAGCTAGTGACGTTTACTTCGTGTCTCTCATGTGGGCCATCATTGCTGTCCAGCTCTGGCTGAATCTGTGGGTCATGCAGCTGCTGCCAGTGCCTGTTGCAGGTTGGTGTTTGGTTAAGTATGGTTTTATCTTGTCACAGATCTTTTCTCCTTTTTTTTGCAGTGGGATTTTAATATTTGATATAATTTTATTGCCATCTTAAAATGGTATATTTGTATTTAGGTCATGAGAAAAATAGTTTTATTTTTATTTTGTGTGTATGAGTGTTTGCCTGCATGTGAATGCCCAGAGAGGCTGAAAACGGGTATTAGGTCCTGTGGAACTTGAATTTCAGACATTTGTGAGCCAATTGTACCCATGTCCTGTACAAGAGCCACAGAGTGCTCCAGGACAGCCATGGATACATGGAGAGACCGTGTCTCAAAAACAGAACAAAACAAAACAAAACCAATCAAATTTAATGCTGGGATTTTTGAACTGTTTTATCACACTGACTGGTTTAGTTATTTTTCTCTTGCTATGACAAAACACCATGACCAAGGCAACATATAAAAGAAAGCACTAATTAGAGCCTCATCATTCCAGAGGGTTAGAGTTCATGACCATCATTGTGGGGTGCATGGCAGCCGCAGGCAGTTATGGAGCTGGAGTAGAAGCTTAGAACTTACACGTTGGTGGGACAGCTAGAAGCAGACAGAGAGAGAAAGACGAGAGATGAGCATATGCATACATGCAGGAAATGGCATGGGCTTTTGAAACCTTAAAGCCTAGCCCCTAGTGTCTATTTCCTATAGCAAGGTCACCCTCCTAATCTTTCTCAAATAGTTCACCAAGGGAGGACCAAATAGTCAAATATAAGAGCCTATGGTAACCCTTCCTTCCTTCCTTCCTTTCTTTCTTTCTTTCTTTCTTTCTTTCTTTCTTTCTTTCTTTCTTTCTTTCTCTTTCCTTCCTTCTTTTCTTTCTCTTTCCTTCCTTCCTTTTCCTTTTCCTTTTCCTTTTCCTTTTCCTTTTCCTTTTCCTTTTCTTGAATCAAGTTTTCACTGTGTAGCCCAAGCTGTCCTGTAACTCACTCTTTAGACCAGGCTGGGCTCAAACTCACAGAGATTTGAATGCCCCTGCATTCCACCATCACCACCACCTTTCAAGTTTATGGGAACCATTCTTCATTAAACCACCACACTGACCTTACAACTCACAAGGTTGAGTTAAGAATAGGGTCCCAGGAGTTAGAGAAATTTTAGAGGAAAGAAACCATTATCTAGGCCCACCCCCACTAGTAAGTAGCCTTTCTTCTGGCCTCTTTTTCTTAGCTTTAACAGCTGCCTTCTTACTGACCCCCAACTTTTGTTCAGAGCACAGAGCAGAATCATGTGAGGAAACACGAGCACAGTTGGAAATACTGCCTGCAGTGCTATAAAGCCATTGAGGAAGAACAGCTGTAGTCGCCAAGGAAATCAGTAAATGTTGGGGCTCAGTTTTCCTTAGTCAAGGGGAAGAAACTATGAAGGAAGGCCGTTGAAGTTCATGCTGTTTGTAGGCTGGACAGTGAGCCCTGACTCACTCTGGGCTTCAGGTTCACAAAGGGTGATGTTTACCTTGTGGGTCTTCCTTTAGAGTGCACCTGGCCAGTTCCTTCTGCTTACACACCTATGGTCCTCCATGCTCCTTTCTTTTTGTTTTTGTTTTCTAAGACAAGGTTTTTCTGTGTAGCCTTGGCTGTCTTGGACTTACTTTGTAGACCAGCCTCGCTTCGAACTCACAGCGATCTGCCTTCCTGAGTGTGGGATTATAGGTGTGCATCACCACACCTGTCCCCACACTCCTTTCTAACATGATCTTGTTTTAGTACTGGCTTTCCTGTTTAGAGTGGAAACTAGGGAACTTTTCATGTGCTGCCTTTCAAATCTGGGTCCTTTGTGTTTGTATCTTCTCTATAGTTTGGATAATCAAAAAGCTCGTGATTCACTTTGGAGTGGTGGACTTCCTGGAGAAACGCTGCCGTGCTTGGTGGCAGGTTATCGAGAACTTCCTGAAGGAGCGGCAGGAGGCCTTAGCACCATGGCCGATTATCGGGCTTGGAAAGTTCTTACTAAAAGTTGATAGCAAGGTATTGTATGATTGTGCTGCTCCAGTGGAGTGTTTGTGCTCTTGGCTGGAACATCCATTTCATAACACGTGTTGATAATGTACTTCACATCTAGTTCTCCATTAAGATGTAAGGCCTAGGATTATGGTCCACATGAGGATAGAGTGGATTTAGATTAAATAAAATTGTTATTATTATTATTTTATAAAAGGAGGTGGTAGCTCAGAGTGGAGAATTATTTTTGGAGTGATTCTTGTTTGTTAAATACTGTGCTGAGTTGAAACCTAACCAGTCATGGACAACAGAGACAGAACCTCGACTTAATGCCGAAATATGGTAATTTCTGAGAACTTTGTGATTAATGGATTTAAAATCACACTGTGCCTTCAGCTTCCACTTCTATTATTTACCAGCCCTGTGACCTTGGACAGATGACTTAATTTTTCTATGCCTTGGTCATTATCAATAAAATGGGTTTAATAGCACTTACCTCACAATGTGGTTGTGTGCTGAGTTAATAACTGTAAGATCCTTATTTCAGTGTCTGATATATTCAGTGCAAGCTGTCACTACAGTTTGTATAGAGAAGTATCTGTGTGACACAGTGGGAGCACTGAGTGAAAAATGCCTCGTGTTGCCCAGTGGTAGGAAAGGAAGCTTTGGGGACGTGAAAGCAGAGCAAACAGAGCACAAGCAGGCCTCTACTAGAAGATGGAATTGGCTGTGCAGGGCTCTGCATTTGAGGGGATCCAGGCTATGAGTTGCAAGTTACAGGAAAGCTTGTAGTTGTCATTTCAGCCATCCTGTTGTAAAGCAGTATTCTGTTAAAGCCTTGTGATGCACTGTTTCTTCCTCCAGCTTTCCTGACAGCCTCCCCTCTGCTCTAAGTGACTTTCTCTCCATACTGTTGTTGCATTCTCTAATGATATCCCACTGTTCTTATCTTCTCTCACCTTCCCCTGTCCTCCAGCTCTGGCACTGGCTAAACAAGAAGGTAATACCATGTGGTGTGGTTTTCACTCCTGAATTTTATACCCTGTACCAGCCCCTCAGTATCTCCTTCCTCATTCTATGTTTCTGTCCATATATTAAACTAAGGTTTGTTTTAAAAATTCTAACCATAAGCTATGGAAGGTCGTGAAATATGAATTCTGCCATTGAGTCATTTACTAAAACCTCCTCAGAGCTCTTAGGACATGAATGAGTGTCTTTGTCAAGTATTTAAAAGTTATGGCTCACAGCCCTTCTGTTCAGAGAATTGATTTCCTTGCCTTTTCTTTCTAATGTGGTGACTCTTTCTCTTTTTTTTTTTTTTCTTCTTTGAGTCAGGGTCTTGCTCTGTAGTCCAGCTGGCTTCTATTTTCTTGCCTCATTCTCCAGAGTGCTAGGATTACTGGCTTCTACCACCAAGCCCAGGTGTAGGTTCCTTTGCGTGTGAAACACATTAAGCTATAGTTACAGCAGAGAGAAGAAACTCTTTATTGCTACTTTTTCTATGGATGACACAAGAAGCTTTAAAAACTGACAATTCTGTAAAACACTTGTTGAATTTGTGTTATCTCTTGGCTAGTAATTTTGACCTTTTTTTTTTTTTTAATTGTTTTAGCTTGGGCTTCTATTGCTGTGGTAAAATACAACTTTGGAGGAAAGGGCTTACTTCAGCTCACATGTGTCAGTAACAGTCCATCTTGCAGGGAACTCAGGCAGGAACAGAAGTAGAGATCATAGAGGAGCACTGCTTTCCGGTTTGTTCCTCCTGCCTTGCTCAGAACCACCTCTCCAGGGATGGCACCACCCACAGTGGGTTGGGCCCTCCTACTTCAATCATTAATCATGAAAATGCTCCACAGGCTTGCCTACAAACCAGTCTGGTGGGGACATTTTCTCATTTGAGGTTCCCTCTTCTCAAGTGACCCTCTTGACAGAAATTAACTAGGGAAATTCCATTATCCCAGAAACAGATTTTTGTTATCTAAGACAGCCTGTAGTCGTGGCCTGTAACATCTAGTATTGTATTTCATAAGTCATATAGAACTCGTCTGTAGGAATTGCTTTTCATGATGGGAATGGCATTGTAATAGCACATTTCAGATAAATCCTAAGGCCAAGCTACAAATATGAGGAATGCTGTGCCTTTGGCATTTAGTCAAGAAAGAGCTGTGTTTGACTGGCTTTCAAATCCATAGGATAGGTTTGCATGAGGTAACATCATGTATGCGTATCCTGTTTAAACACAAGCAAGACTCAGGTTCATAAAATGTTATAACAAGCTTTAAAGATGTGGAAGTAGGTCAGAGTTACATATTTTGATTTTCAGTTTTTATTTACTTATTTGTATTCATTAACTTATTCAGTTTTTGTGGTGCTGAGGGTGAAAATCAGGCCATGAGCATGACAGGCTGTCATGTACTGCTAGATCCAGATAGGACTTTTAAATGTGAGCAGAATTTGCTCTCTCCTCCCTCCCCACTGAAAAGAAGAAATGGGGAGACTTGACAACACCTAAGGTTTTAAACAGGACTGGAAGTAAACAATGTGTAAAATATATGGTCTACTACATCCCACACAGATACATCCCTATAAACTAGAGTCAGGACATAAGTGTAAGTATAATCCTTGTCTGGCTGCCTGTCCGTCTGTCTATCTACCTATCTATATCTAGATATTTAGATAAGATATAGCAAGTATAACACACATTTTGTTAACTTTAATCAAAGTAAGTGATTCTGTATGTTTCTCCAGTTGGTGTGTATTGGAATGAATTATCCTTAAGATAAGGAGAAAGAAGAATTAAGTTTCTTAAGTTTAATTTGATCTACCCTAGGTGGACTAATGAGTGAGAAAATCTAATTTATGAGCCTAATTAATGTATAGCTGAAAAGCAGAGTTAGTGTTAAAAGATTGCAAGAGATCAAGTAACTGCAGGCTTTCATTTCGTATAACATGTTCAAAGCATTGGTGTATAGTTAGAATGCAGTTGTCTGCATTTCTGTGTACAATCTACAGAAGTGCATAAGGGTATATGATACTTTTTTAATGGCTTGATAAGCAAAGCCAGTTTTCTTAGAAGTTTCAGAGTAGGGCTTGGTGTAATTAAGTTTTTAAAATGTACCCACTTTTTATATTTGAAATATTTAGTACACCATTTTAAAAGTTTCTCTTTTAAAAATAAAACCTTAAAGGTTATTAACTGGGCATGGCCTGGAGAAATTCATAGAGACCATGTGTGTTCCACAGTCCAGCAGTGATGGTGACAGTTTTGTTGCTTTTGCTCACAGTAAGCATGGGGAAGAGAGCATCTGGCACTCCTATAGAGACCAGCTTTCTATGTCTGTGTTTTTCTTTGCCCTTGTTCACTCACATACTCAGCACTTGCTTCTTTTCCTTCATTTAACTTTTCTGTTCTGTTTGTTTGTTTTAACTGTGTATGACTATTTTGTCTGCATAAACGTATATGTATGTATGTATGTGTGTGTGTATGTGTGTATATATATACACACATACATACATATATATGTGTATATATGTATGCACCAGGCATACACACACAGAGTGTGTGTATCATACTCTGTGTGTGTATGCCTGGTGCCCCTGGAAGCCAGAAGAGAGCATTGGATCTTCTGGAACTGCAGTTAAAAGACAATTGAGCTGCCATTGTGGGTTCTCGGAACTGAACCTGGGTCCTCTGCAAAAGCATGCTTCAGTATGTGGCAGGTTGGAAAGGGCAAGTGTCTCCAAAGTTAAGCAAGAACTTAATTTCTGACAAATTTGGAGTTAGGAAGATTCTACTCCACTTAAAGCTGTTAAGTCCAATTGTGTAATTCTGGTGGGCATATCTGTGGAATCCTGTGGCTTGTATGTTAACATTATCTGATAGGAGGTTAGGGCTCCATGCTTTTCCAGTAGATTATTTTCATTTAAAAATCTGCTTTTAAGGACACTTCCTCCATTACTTTCACAAACTGTGATTCTTGGGAACAAGTCTGGTTGTAACACTGAAATTACTTAAGTGTTTGCTATACAACCTATACTCTTGGTTTACTGGGTTTTGGAGCTATAGACAGAAGAATGAGGTAGCCTTTTTCTTGGGGATCTGCCCCAGGAATGAGGTCCAGCTGCTGCTTGATGTAAAACTTCTCAGTTCATTGATTTTAGAACTTATCTTCAGAGTAAGACACCTGACCTTCCATACCTTAGAAACCTGTCATTCCTTTTTTTTTTTTTTTTTTTTTTTTTTTTTAATAAATCTCTGCATTGTCTCTGATGCTTTGGTAGCATGCATTGAAGCTTAACTCGTCTGTTTGAAGCTCTGAGTGTGAACATTATAGATTAACTTTTGTGTCTGAGCTCACTATGACACTAAGTGAATGGTGGTGTCCTTCATGGAAGACAGGTGAAAGTTCAGCCTGTGAAGAAATAAAATAGTATAAAAGTATAGTGTTTTTTAAATAGTTGCTTTTAGGAATTTGACTAACTGTATAAAAACCATAACTTCAATTTAAATTAGGAACAACTTTAGCAGTATTATAGCACATACTTGGGTTGAAGGGTGCTATATGGGTCATTAGCATTATTGATCTAATTAAGTCTAATTTTGAGTTTTAAATGGTATCTTTGCAAGGTAGGAAGTGTAGAAATTTATTGATACATATTCTAAAAACAAAATGTTTTAGATGTAGGGTTATTGGGTAAAGGATGAGAGAAGGTCTAATAAAGATAGAATATCAAATAACATTTTAAGGAAAGCATAATTTTAATTACTGGTTAAAGAACAGCTACTTTATTGAGGATTAATGTACTTCATTGAGTTAGAGTCATGTCATAAAGCGGACGTTTTAAATAGAATAGAGGCTTCTAGTAGAATAGAAGGACTTGAAAAGCATTTTATTGTGAAATAGCTAAAATCCAAAATCCCTGAGGCTGGCAGTAATGGCTTATCAGGTAAAGACACCTTTTGCCTAGGACAGTGACTTAAGTGCAGTCTGTGAAGGCCACATGATGAAAGGAGAGAGCCTACCCTTACAGATTGCCCTCTGACTCCCATACTCACCTTCAGTCCTGGGGGCACTCCCTCAAGAAAATAAACACACATATTTAGCTTTTTTAATATTTAAAAATCTTAAAAACATGTTCACTTAAAAAAAAAACAAAAACGACAAAACAAATAAAAAAACCAAAAAACTATTCACTTACCATCTACCTCAGTAGAACTGCCTGGACCTCCCAAGGCCTGGTACCCAGGAGCTGTTACTCTGAATTCACTGGTCTTGCTGCCTTAGGATTACATACATCAACAATTACTGTCTTTATGACCCTAATGGAATGAAAGCAAAATGCAGTTGGAATGTAACTGCTGTCTTTGCTCCTGTTTTTTGTGTGATTGCAGAGATGACCATCACAGGGAGCATACATCCTCTTAAGCCATCTGTGTTGGCTGACTGATAAGACAGCTTCATGAGCCTTGAGTTCAACTGATGGATTGTCATTATTTTGTTTTGAATGTTTTTACCAGGCCTCAGGAATTAAGAGATTGAAATGTAGATGCAGCATCCTGAGAATTCAGGGATACATGTGGATAATGTTCTGGTTGACTGCTTTCCTTTCCATAGCTGTGAATATAATGAACTCTTCACATAACAGCAGCAATTAATACTTAATTTTCTAAAGTTGCTTATAGCTTTTACTGCTTTAATCAGTATGCTATCATTTGCTTTGCAATGTGAAATATCCTGTATTTGTGAATTTGAGTACCTACGTGTGTTTATTAAGTGAAATTTGAAGATAAGTAATCTCCGTTTTTATTTCTATGCAGATGATCATCTGGTTGGAGAAGATGTTAGATAAAATTATCAGCATTTTCATCATATTCTTGCTAGTAATAGGAACTCTTCTTTTAGCCCTTCTCCTGACAGCAAAGGTAAAGTACAACTACCAAGTGTCCTTGTTAAAATGAAGTCCCTGTTGCTAGAGTTGCATATGTAGAAGCTAGCAGAAAAATGTTACTTGACCTATTAGAAGTACCTCCTCCCACTAAAACATTTTCATTTTGTACATTACTAATTTTGTTGTAAGTCTGCCTATATGTTTTCTTTTTAAATCTCACCTGCACACATTTTACTTTGTCGTCAAGTCTTCAGAGGAAAATGCAGTTTTATTAAAAAAAAAAAAAAAAATCCTAAAGATAATCTCTCCTTCCACCAGCCTCCTTAAAATAAGGGGTTCCTGAAGTAGTCTTGTGACTCCTATTCTAGTTCGTGCAGTGTTCCCTCCTTCCTGGGCTTCTGTCTTGATGCTGTCTGGTGGTGCTGCAGGCACTGGCCTCAAACTCCTGGGTGGAGGTGACTCTCCTGCCCCAGCCTTCCAAGTACCTCTGAGCACAGCACACCACTGCACCATCTTCAGAATCTCTGCATTAGCTCTTTCCCCCTGCCTCACTGCTCTTCTTGTGGGGGTGGTAAAGTCTGAGGAAGTCCCATGTGCCTGTTGTCCTCATCACCTGTGTTTTTGATGTCTGTTTTGAAGTGCTATCCTCTAGGCATGACATGGCCTTTGCTGTTCTTAAGTCAGACCCGCAGGAGACTCTCAGAAAGCTGTGACCTCTAACCTTCCCTCCCAGTGGGGAAGGAGGCCTCACTAGGCACACGGTGGCTTACGTAGGATCTGTATTTTTTTCCTTTTCAGATTGCTCCAGCTTGAGTTTTGTTTCCTGTTTTCATCTCGTTGAGAAAGGCATTCCCGAAAGCACAGCTGCATGTTATTGTCATGGTGGTGTGCTTTGCTGAGGGTAGTTTTCTACACTCTTTCAGTACGTTTTCATCCTTAGTTATCTGAACTCTCTTTGACTCCACTTCCAGATTTTGGTGTTGTGTTTTCAAGAAGAATAAAGTTTACATGAAATCATGGCTATCAAAACTTCTCTAACAGTCTTGCAGAGATTCCTTAGTAACTGTCACCAATAGATGATCCAGTGGCAACAGTTTGCTGAAGTATTGTATTGTGCTTTTCATGAGCTGTTTCCACTCCGAAGTTCTATTCTATAACAAGTCAGGCTTGTTATAGTTTATTTACTTTCTCCCCTCACCACTCAAGTCTGTTAGTCCTTCTGTCTGTTTTAATCTCTGCTGTTTCTCTGTTCTTTATGTATAGTCACGTCATGTAACTGCACAGACATGTGTCCTTCCTGAGTTTTTGTCATGTTTCACCCAAGATTGCTGTTATGCAGTCCTAGTTCTCACAGAGGCTATCTGTGAGAATTCTGTTTCAGTTTTCTGTCCTTTTGTTCTTCTCTGTTTCTTTGTGTGTGGTCTTTCTACCTGCCTGTCTCACTTGTGCTCATCTGTCAAGTTGTTTATTTATTCCATGGCGCAGTGAGTTTTTGCTTCCTTCAGCTTCATTTGTGGGTATTGAACCATGTCAGTCTTGTCTAGGATTGAAGTGGACTGAACTTTTAAGGGAGCCCTATTGGGTATTTGGCTCATTTTTCTTCCAGTATACATATAAGTTTTTTTAAATACCAAGATAGTATCCACTTGAGTGTCTACTAGGTACCTCAGATTTAACAGCAGAGACTGTGCTTGTCATAGTTTTTCTGTTCTAATAAGTGATAATTCTGTGCTCACTGAAGAGCTTCAGGGTCAGTCTTGAATATACTTTGGTCACATGTCTGCTTGTCAGAGAAATCCTTTTGTTTTGACCTTGCCAGTATATCCTAGGGACAACAGCAGACCAATGCCGTCACATAGTTTCTTCTCCACAGAAAACAAGAATAAAACTATCAAGTTCTTACCAATGCCACTCAAAGCCATTGAAAAATGACCAGCTAGGAAATTCCAGAGTCATGTTGGTTTTGGGTTACTCTGCAGCAAAACTCTGCAGCTTTTTCTGAAGGAGTTGTTCTTTGCATGTCTGGTGCAGTCTTAATTTGTCTACTTTACTTTGTTGCCTGTGTTATTGGTGTCTGTTGTGGAATGCTCCTTCCGACACGACGTGGCCATTACTGTTCTTCAAGGAAAAAAACACATCACACGGGGAACAAAACTATTGGACTGAACAGTCATATGAAAAATCATAGGGATGAAGTTAAAGCTGAAGAACAAGAAGCCTGACAGCCAAGAATTTTATGTTTATTGGATCTGTTCTTTAAAATAAAGGTCAAGGAGCTAGAAGGATGGCAATGTTGCCTAGCTCTTAACCAGTATGCCCAAGACACTGGCTTTAGTTTCCACCTGATTCTCTTTACCTTCAAAAATTAAAGGCAAAAATAAAACCATTTCCAGATAAATTAAAATGGAGAGAATTCATGGATGGCAGATGTGCACATACAGGAAAGTTAAAATAATGTGGGAGCACACCAGTCATCCAGTCAGACCTTATCTTTAAAACAAACAGACACAAACCAAAAAATGAGTTTCAGTTGAAGAGAAAGGACTACGGATTCCATGGTTCCATAGGAGAGAATAGGGTACCAGGAGGGCATATGGAGAAGTTACATACTTTTCTCTGTGTTCTTTTAGTTTTTTAAAATAATGTAACTATTTAAAGAAAACTTGTGGTACATTGTTCTAGACTTTGTGATGTAAAGATGAACTATTTGTTTATGTTATATATACATAGTATAGCACAGTACAAAGAAAGGACTGCAAAAATGGAGCTGTATTGATTAGCAGTTACTTCAGATACATGTCAGTATTAGCTTGAAGTAAATTGTGATAGATTAAAGCTTTAACTTTTAGATATATTAAATAGCACTTTGCAGCTTCTAAAAAGTGTAAAGTTTAGGTGAACTAAAGTGGTAAAGAAAAAAATAATTTCCTTGACTTGTTTATCCTATCTTTATCTCCCTCATTTTGTTAGTTATTTGGGAAAGTGCCTTTGTCACTGGTCTATTGCTGTGTAGAGACACTGTTATCAAGGGAAGTCTGGCAGAGGGAAGCATTTTGTTGGGGGTTTGCTTACAGTTTCAGAGCCTAGTCCATTGGCATTATGCTGGTGAGCGTGGTGGTGTGCAGGCAGACATTATGCTGGAGCAGTAGCACAGAGCTACATCCTGATCCACAGGCAGCAGGAAGACAGCCTGAGCCTGGTGTGGGTTTTTGAAACCTCAAAGCCCACCACTAGTGGCTCACTTCCTCTAACAAGGCCACATCTTCTAATCCAAATAGTGCCACTCCCTGATGATTGTGCATTCAGATATATGAGCCTATGGGGTTCAAACCACCACAACAGGCAAATTGAGCTTTAGTACTCGATGGCTTTTCTATATGTAGAGCCATACTCAGTGCTTTAGTTTCCTGTGTATCTCATCCTGCACACACTGTATTAGCTCAAAGTTTTGGTATGAACTTTGCATATGAAGATAAGCATGCACAAAATCTGTACTTATGTCTGTTCATGGAAACTGGTTTTTTATGTCTATGAGTTAAGTGTTTGGATTGGTTTTTTAGGCAGATTGTTGAATTTCTTGAAGCAGGGAAGGTTATGTATATCATAGGACATTATATAGCAACTTGTAAGTACTCACTTCTAAATTAATAAAAACCAAGGCATATTATTATTTGATTCTATAAAAGTAGAAAAAGACATTTTGAATTAGGTTTATTACTTACTTTTTTTTTCCCTCTTTTTACCTATATTTCAGGTACATCAAGAGAGTGTACACATGATTGAAGTCACAAGTAATCTGATTAATGAAACTCTGGCAAATCACCCCGAGTGGGCAAAGTAAGAATACTGTTTTAGAAGAAAAAATGCATGGCTGACTTAGCTTCAGCCTCTGATTGCATGGAACAGCATTCATCAATGCAGCTACCTTGGTAGAGAAGAGATACAGTTTGCCAAAGCTTTGATAAACTAGAGTACTGTGCTGAGGAGGTGCTTAAGCTTAGGGACAGTTTCTGATAGCACTGTGAAGGTCAGACTGACAGAAGAAACACTCTTGCCTCAGACTTCTAAGTGCCGAGATTACAGGCATGTCCTAATGTCTGGCTCTACTTTTTAATTTATTGACATTTTCTATTATTTTTTTCTCCTTATGAAAGACATTTTTCTAGATATCTTAACTTTTAGGGTCACTGACACTATCAGCTTTCTTGGTGTGATCATTTTGTATGTATATAACCCACAAAGCCATTAAGAATTGAGGCTGTTGACTTTATAATACTGTTTTCCATGTGTCAGCTTGGTAGCATGCATCATGTTTGAGCCTCAGGAAAATAAACACCTAAGTATTGTTGCTTTGGTCTTTCAGCATGAATCATAGGCAATTGAAGGCAGAACTATTACATTTGTGAGCTTCAGTATCTGGTATATAACACTGATGGACAGTCTGGGAAATAAAGTAATTCTGGGATTTAGAAGGCCTTAGGTATGTGTAAAGTCTTGATGAAGGTGTATTTTGCAGCCTCCTTAGCTATAAGAACATGGGGAGGCCTCTTACTGCAGAACGAATGAAATCTGAAGACTGTACTTGCATGGCTGTAGCTTTGTGAAGAGACTCCACATCAAAATATCAGTGGATAAAAGATTGAACATCATTAATTCACTCTCAGTTTCTGAATTCTTCCTCAGTTCTGCACTTCTTTAGACTTGTGGGTCTCAGACATTTGCAGGGCCCCTTAGGGTCCACAATTCTCTTTCAGGTCTGGGATTGGGCTCAAGCATTTTCATCTCTAATAGGCTTCCAGGCAGGTTGGGTGCTGGTTGTCCATGACCCACACTTTGAGAATCTTCTTAGATGTTGAATAACTCAGTGCTTCAGAACTATGTCCTCTGTTACTAGGTTGGTGACCTAGGGCATGTGTGGACAGCGGAACCAGGAAGAGCAGAATGAAAATGAGGCTAAGGATTAAGGAGGCAAGGCAGGTCTAGATCTTATGGGGAATTGGAAGATAAATTATATAACTCAGGATTAGGATCATTGCGCTTGGGCATCATGTCTGTGTGAGTGATTGATCAATAACTTGTTATTAGTAGCTTTACTTCTAAAAGAATATACTGAAAATGGGCTTTTTCAATTGTCTATTTTTATCTTTTCTATCAGTTGGCTTCCAGAGGCTCAGGTGGTCCAAAGAGCCCTTAATTCTGCAGCTAACAATGTGTATCAGTATGGACGGGAATGGATAACTCACAAGGTGAGGAGTGAACTTTTCTTGTGCCTTTTTCCGTGCAGGATTTGTACAGGAGCTACTTCTACCTTTGATAGAAGATACGCAAAGATTCTCTTTGAAATGCATTTAAGTATACAGGTGGGCAAGTGCCATAAAGCAGAATCAGACTCTAGGATATCACATGAACAGTGCTGGTAGCCTGAACAGTCTTGAGGGGTTGGCTGTTCTCTTTTAAGGTAGATCTGATTTGTTTGTGCGTTAGGATAGAACGATCACGGAATTTGAGTGGCCAAATAAGGCTTTGTGGAGGAAAAAGAATTTGTGCCAGCATGTTGAATCCTGTATCTGCTGCCCGCTATGGTAGGCAGCTTCCAGTTTCATTTATTTAACAGTCAGCTCTTCCTGTAGTATTTTGAACTAGTTTACTTGCCTTCCAGCTGAGAAAACAGGATTGACAGGCTCAGCAGATCCAGACGGCCATGTGGTGCATTTGCTCCACACTGGTGACTAACACCAAATCCTTTCTTTCTTTTTTTTTAATTTTTTATTTTTTATATTAATCACAGGTTATTTACTTTGTATCCCAGCCGTAGCTCCCTCCTTCATTCCCTCCTAACCCCACCCTCCTTTCCTCATCTCCTCGCCCCTTTCCAAGTCCCCTGATAGGGGAGGACCTCCTCCCCTTCCATCTGACCCTGGCTTATCAGGTCTCTTCAGGACTGACTACAATGTCCTCTTCTGTAGCCTAGCCAGGCTGCTCTTCCCTCGGAGGTGGAGGTGTCGAAGAGCTCGCCCTTGAGTTCATGCCAAAAATAGTCCCTGTTTCCCTTACTAGAGAACCCACTTGGATACTGAGCTACCATGGGCTATATCCGGGCAAGGGTTCTAGGTTATATCCATACATGGTCCTTGGTTGGAGAAACAGTCTCATGAAAGACCCCTGTGCCCTGATATATTTGGTCCTTGTGGAGCTCCTGTCCTCTCCAGGTCTTACTAACTACCCCTTCTTTCATATGATTCCCTGCACTCTGCCGAAGGTTTGGTTATGAGTCTTAGTATCTGCTTTTATACACTGCTAGGTAGAGTCTTTCAGAGGCCCTCTGTGGTAGACTCCTGTCCTGTTACTTGTTTTCTCCTACCTCCAATGTCCATCCCATTTGTCTTTCTAAGTGAGGATTGATCATCTTACCCCGGGTCCTCTTTGTTTCTTTCTGATGGAGTTTTCTGCCAGTGTGTATCTGGCTGGAGCTAGAGTAAGTGCTTCTGGGTGGTACTTGAGATAAACATAGAAGGAATGGCAGCTCAAGGAAGAATGTATTTTTAAAAAGTTATTTATGGGAGTGAAGATACAGACGCATGAGGGTGCTTGTGTTTGAGATGAACGTGGCTAAAGGGATAGAGCCTTGTGAAGGGAAAGTGATGGAGAAAAAAAAAACCCCACAGTTTTTGGATTTAAAGAGTAGCTTTTTTTAAGTATGGATTTGGGGTGTATCCCTCATCAACTATTGCCCATAGAATGCAGTTAATTTTTAGCCTTCATATACCTAAGTAGTTAGGATCATACAAAGATTGACAAGACTGAGGTCACTGAATGTTGTATCCCCAAAATTGCATGAGCAATTAATTTCTTGTTTAAAACTCAAAAGCAGTTCTGGAGAGATAGCTTGAGAGTGCTCAAGAGCACTTGCTGCTTATGCAGAGGACCTGGTTCAGTTCTCAGTATCTGCATACTGCATACAGCCTTCTGTAAGTCCAGTCCAGAAGATTTGATACCCTCTCTGACCTCAGCAAGCGCCAGACATGCACTTGGTGCACATTTATAAATGCAGGCTCATAAAATAAAAACATCTTAAAAAATAATAAAATTGCTAGGCAGTGGTGGTTCACCGCCTTTATGCCTGACACTTGGGAGGTACAGGCAGGCAAACCTGAGTTTGAGATCAGCCTGATCTACAGAGGGAGTTCCAGGACAGTCAGAGCTACACAGAGAAACTCTGTCTCTACAAACAAACAAACAAAGAAAAAAATAAAAGAGTTAACATCCCAAATTATGAAAAAAGGCTTTATATACATGCATTCCTATTTGCTAGTCAAAGATTGAATCATTGAAAATTGAGAGAAAGTTTGTCAGTTGGTCCTCTTATGTCTCTCCAAGACAATATGATTAATTGGCACATGATGCTATTGGAAAAAATATGTTGAGCAAGCAAAAGATAAATATATATATACAGATATTAAAACTGTCACAGGAGGAAGAGTCAGCTCCTGCAAAGAGCTTGCAGCTTTTTTTTTATACATGTGTTATTTTACAAAAAAGTGATGACATTTTATTCTGATTACTTTCTTGGGAGAAATATTTGAGAGAAGTTTTTATTCTGACTAAGAAGATAAAGCAAATTTTGGTAAATAACACATCTTAGACTAAAAAATAAATTTCAGATTTAGTTACAGAAGACATAGCTGTGTAGCCTCTCATGCAAGAGGCTAAAAGTGAAGACGGTTGAGGACATTGGTATCAAAAGTTACAATATATTTATGCTTCTGACTTAAAAGACAGAAGGATAGTGTATGTATATATATGTATATATATGTGTATATATATATGTGTGTGTGTATATATATATATATATGTATCCATCAGATTTCCCTCAGCTGGTAGATAGCTAGCCTAATGTGGTAAATTTATTTCATGTGTGTGTGAGAGAGATGTGACTATATAACTGTACATGCTTGTGTTGAGGGGAGGTGGGGGGATAGAGGTGTGTGTGTGTGAGAGAGAGAGAGGGAGGGAGGGAGGGAAGGAGAGTGGGTGGATGGATGTGCCAAGATCATAGGACAGCTTTTGAGTGTTTGCTGTTAAGATGACAAGTTTGATGAAATGAAATTCTGATAAATGTTACAGCGTGTTAACCTTGAAAATACAGTGTTAAGTAAAATCACTACTAGTCATCGGTTGGCGAGGTGGCTTGGGTGAAGCACTTGCTGTGCCAGCTGATGACCTGAGTTTGAGTCCTAGAACCACCCGGTGGAAGAAGAAAACCAACTCCAACATCCACATATATGCATGGCACCCCTCTGAACATACACAGTAGTTACAGCAATAAATAGATGATGAGCCATGTGTATGATTTCATTTACACAGACTATCCAGAAGTAGCAAATCTGTAAACAGAAAATAGAGTGGAGGGTCCCAGGAGTGGGTGACTATGAGGGGGAATGGGAGTGATTACTAAGAGTGAAAATTAATTGTAATTGTTAAATAGCTATAAATATTCTTAAGACTGGCTGGTCTACTAAACTGGGGGAATTGCAAGGTGTGAATTATGCCTTAATGCAGTTCTTAAAAATACATTGAAGCCAGAGGTTTGAGTTTACTGAGCATTAAATGTTAAGTAGCTAAGAATCATTAAGAAGTGCATTGAGAGAGCTAAAGTCTAGAAATGGCTGAAGCTAGGAAAAACTGCCATGCCTAGAAAAGAGGGAGGGTGGTGTTTTTTTTTTTTTGTTGTTGTTTTGTGTTTTATTTATTCATGTATATGAATGCTCTGTCTGCATGTATGCCTGTGTGCCGGAGGACGCCAGCAGGTTCCATTATAGGTGGTTGTGAGCCACCATGTGGTTCTTGGGATTGAACCCAGGATCTCTGGAAGAGCAGCCACTGCTCTTAACTGCTGAGCTATCTCGAAAGCACCCCCACCTCCCTCATTAAATTTTGGTAAAATCAGAGAAAACCTTGAAGGTTGAAGGTGTCTTTCCCCCAGCCTGCTTCCCAGATCCAGTTTGTTTTCTGTTCAGGCCTTATCTATTGTCTTTGTTTGAGCTATCCTTTCTGTTTGGTGTGTGCTATGCTTGGACAACAGAAGAATCAGTGCTGTTTCCTCTTTCCTTCTGCCATGACCCTCAGTGAAGAAAGCACCAGTGCATACACAGTTTACTCCTTGCTGAATGAGCAGGGAGCCAGAGTTTATAGCCTACTAGAATAACATTGGTGAGAGGAGATGAGTATTAAGCATATAAACAAATAAAAATTTTAGGTACTCAGCTGGGCATGGTGGCACACACCTTTAATCCCAGCAGAGGTCAAAACCAGCCTGGTCTACAGAGGGAGTTCCAAGACAACCAGGCTTACACAGAGAAACCCTGTATTGAAAACCAAACGTAACATTTTTTTCCCCAAACGTACTTAGGAGTGTATGGTAAAGAGTGAATCACGGTGATGTTTTAGTTAAATGTTCAAAGAGTTTTCTAAGGAAGCAGCATTCCTACCAAGACACCAATGAGAAAGTGGTTGGTGAAGGTCTGGGGAAAGAAGCATGGACAAAAATCATTCAAAAGAATCCTTCAAAAGTTCTGAGTGGTTGTGAGTACATGTGGTTAAAGGGTTGAGCTAGTGTGAAGGCAGGATGGCTGCAGCAGAGAGTGACACAGTGAAGCAGAGGACTCTAAACGGTACCCAGGCTTTAGTGAATCTGCACCAGGCTTTAGTGAGTCTGCTGACAGTAGTACTAATGTTTGCATTGTACATTGTAGCATAGGAGGATGGTGTTCCAAGTCTCTGGCTGACGTCTGCTGGGTTGGCAGCACCATGGGTTTGTAGTGGGTTTTACAACACATTGTACAATTATACAACATTATTTTTTAACCATGGTGTTTTAGAATCATTCATTGTTCTACTGGGAGTCAGGTGCCAGTAGATTGCTGCTCTGTGGATAATGTCTTCCAGAGGCTGACTAACCTCTGTAGGCCTTCTCTGGCTAGGGGAATCTCAGAAGTTGACATAGAGAATTGGTATTAGGAGTCCTAAGAGAAGTAACCAAAGGGGGTATGTGTCTGTGCTTGGCATCTTCTGTAAGGGGTTCTTTGTGTGTTCAGGTCACACATGCTATACTTTGAAAGAACATTAGAGAACTCTTCGTTTTATGAGACAGTCTCACTGTATAGAGCAGCCTGGCCTGGAACTTAGAATTCACCTGTATCAGCCTCCCTAATGCTGGGCTTGCTGGGATACACCTCCATGCCCTATGTTAGTTTTAGTACTGGCTATGCATACTTAACTGTGACCTTAAACTTCCATAGACACTTTGAAACTCTCTTCCCACACTGACGGCATCTTTGAGGTGCTGATCTGAGCCTAGGATGTCATGAGTGTAGTCCATTGAGTTACTCCACCAGCCACAACGCCATTTTCTCTTCACTCGTGGGTGGCTGTAAAGATCACACAGTGTGGATAAAAGCCACTTAAAGTTATAAAGTGCATTTCAGAGATGGGTGCCTTTTATATTCACCATGAATAATTTGTGTCTGGCTTATGAGCAGATCATTTTAATCAAAGGTTGGCTATTTGCACCAGATATGGGTGGTAACTACCTTAGGTTTATAAGGCCAACAGCAGCAGGGCAAAAAGTACCTAAGTGTATATTATAAACCGGTTTGGAGAACTAGCACTCTTATTAAAGGAATGAAGAGCAAATAATTGGTTCTCATTTAAGGTCTGCTAAATTATCTTTAAGGCTTTTAGTTGATTCGTAATGCCTTGGGAAAATTGGTATTCATACAGTGCTTGAAAAGTATTATTTATACAACGCCTTAGAAAGTTGTTGGGCAGGGTGTAGTTGACATCATTATCTTCCTTGACGCCTGTTTCTTTCTTTCTTTCTTTCTTTCTTTCTTTCTTTCTTTCTTTCTTTCTTTCTTTCTTTCTCTCTCTCTCTCTCTCTCTCTCTCTCTCTTTCTTTCTTTCTTTCTTTTTTCTGCAATTGGTGATGTGAAGCATAAATTTTATGTAAAGATGTTGACGGCCTTAAAAATTGGGACTGTTTGTATTTCCTCCTGTAAATAGTGATTAAGTAGGAATGAATTTAATAAATGAATAAGAAACCACTGAATGTAAGGTTACACACACTAGAGGTGAAATGCTTATGATTCAAAAAACATAGATTTTTTTTAATTAAATTTTTATTATTTTTTGTATTAATTACAGTTTATTTACTTTTTATCCCAGCTGTAGCCCCCTCTCTCATTCCCTTCCAATCCTCCCCTCCCTCTCTCATCTCCTCCCTGCCCCTCTCAAAGTCCACTGACAGGGGAGGTCCTCCTCCCCTTCCATCTGATCCTAGCTTATCAGGTCTCTTCAGGACTGGCTACAGTGTCCTCTTCTGTGGTGTGGCAAGGCTGTGCCTCCCTTGGGGTGGGGATGGGGGGACAAAGAGCCAGCCATTGAGTTCATGTTGGAGACAGTCCCTGTTCCCCTAACTAGGGAACTCACTTGGATACTGAGCTGCGATGGGCTACATCTGGACAGGGGTTCTAGGTTATATACAGACTTCTAGATTTCTTTTTAAGTGCAGACTTTAAATTTCATGTTTGTAAATGGAGAGGAAGTTATTGAAGAAATGGAAAAAATGGAAGCAGCTGTTTTAAGAAAGTGGAACTACAAACCAATGCTTGTTTTTTTAAACCTGTGTTTTGGACCTAGGGAGATGGTTGGTTCAGTTTGTAAAATGTTTGTGAGGACCTGAGTTTGGTCCAAGCACCCATGTAAATGAACCTGACCCACAACTTTAATCTCAGTACTCTGGAGGCAGAAGCAGGTGGATCTCTGTGAATTAGAGATCAGCCTGGACTACAAATGGAAGAGATTCTGTCTCCAAACAAATGAACAAAAGAAAACGCCAATGTGATCATGTTGTAATCCCAGTGCTGGGGGATAGAGGCAGGAGCATCCGTGGGCCGCTGACCAGCCAGTCTAGGTGAATCTGGTGAGCTTCAGATTTACTGATATTCCTTGTCTCAAAAAGTAAAGTGGAGAGTGACTGAAGGAGACACCCGGTATCCACCTTTGGTTTTCACACTTTTGTGCATATGTACTTTTGCCTACCTATACACTTACACACAGAAAAATCATTTATCTATTTATTTATTTATTTATTGCCTGTGATAGGGATTGAATCATGATGCTGCATGTTCTAGGCAAGTGATCTCTCACTGAGCTGTCTCCCCTGACTTTTAAAAATGGCTCTAATAAGGAAATAGGATGAGGTACTACAGTGAGTATAAGTTGTACTGCTCTGTGTCAGGTTTCCAGAAGCCTGTTCTGCCAGTCTCGCCTGTCTCAGAAGACTCAGAAATTTGTGCTCATAAGTTAGGTTCTGAATTTTACTTAAGAGTCTCATGGTAAGCCTTAATAATAGAAGAGGAGTAATAGATCAGCTCTAGGCTTGCAGGGAAAATGTTTTTCCTCTGTGCAGATTAAGATCAAATAGATCATTAAGTATGTTTTCATTTGTATTGTTCTCTTGTGCCCTAAGACCTAAGAAGAGAAGAAATGGTAGGATGAGATGGGGGATTTACTAGAACATGGAGGCGTCTTTTAAAAAAATAACATAATATGGCTAGAGATTTTTAAGTAGTTGAATACTTTAATTTGATTAAGTTGAATATTTTAATACTTTAATTTGGGACAAATAAAGACTTAGCATGTATTAGCCATACTGAATTGTTACTTAGAATATTAATCTGATTATACCTGTATTTTTTTTCTAGCTTCACAAAATTCTAGGAGATAAGGTGAACAATACAGCTGTGATTGAAAAACAAGTTCTAGAACTGTGGGACAGACTGTATCACTCTTGGTTTGTAAAGGTAAGTGCTTTTAGCTAATAGTTTTCATGGTAATGATAACACTGTTTTGCTTTATAGACTAATTGGGTCTATAGGATTTTATAGACTCATGTTTTTTATGTTTGGAGTTTCATTTGGTTTAACTTTTCCAGCAGCAATAACTTAAGCCTTTGGTCAGTGTCAGCTTCCACTGGCAGCTCCTCTCTTTGTCAGAACCTGTTGATCTCTCTGGGATATCAGTATTCCATGCGTTGCTCATAGCAATTCCTCTGCAGTAGCTCTGTGCAGTACAGGCAGAATGCAAGCCACATCTATTTATTTATGTATATATGGTGATAGGGATTGAGCCTGGGGTCTCATGTGTTAATAAGCACATGGTCTACTACTAAGTTATTAACACCCCAAGTTTCTGCAAACTACATGTTTATATTAATTTTTCTAATAACTGCAGTAAATAACTAAACAATAATATTAAATAACTAAAATGGATGAGATTAATTTTAATATTATTTTTCACTAATTCAGTTCCCACTGTGATTTCAGTATATACCAAATAAAAAAAAATTCAATATTTTATTTGCCTAAAACATCTAAGTCTTTGAACTCTATTGTGTGCATTTTGCACCGGCAGCACAGCTAAAATTTAGTGTGAGCCATGTTTTAAGTGTTTGGTAGCCACATGTAGCTAGTGGTTATTGTTAGGAACTGGCGAATTCTAGACATCGAAGACCTTTCTGTTTGAGGAGACAGAAATAGATCTAAACTTCAGAGACTTTCATTTGTAGTCAGCTTTTTTGTGTTGCTTACACTTACCTAAAGTTACTTTAGAATTTATGCTAGAACAAGTATGGTTTCCATTGAGTTCAAACGGTAGTTTGGAAAGCTGTGGATACTGCCGAGCTGGTGTATATGCCATGTCTGGTGGGCTGCTGAGAGCCATGGTGCATGAATAGTGGCCAGAGCTGGTTGTTTTCTCCTAGGGTTAACTTAAAGAGAAGAGGAACATGCAAGAGGAAGGTGGCTGAGTTTGAGTTTCTTGCTTAGTGACAGTCTTGCCCTGAGATGAGTTGAGGGAATAATATTGACTTCTGTGGTAAAGGCTTGAGAGTTAAAGCTAATAGTGGGTTATGAGATAAAGTATCTTATCTTTGATTCTGTCTGAGGAGCTAAGCAATTAGAAAGGTGTTATTAGTTTCTTGTGCTTGCTCTGGATCTTGCCACTCACCATGTTTGAGTCCCATTTTTGTTGTTGTTGGGGTTCCAGAGTCTCATGCACGGATCTGTACATGGGAAAGTGTGGTGTCCCCCTCCCCCCCCTCCCACAGCGTATCTGACTGACATAGTGTGCTGTGCTCAAAGCTGAAAGAATGGAAGGGCACATAAATGTTAAGAAATTGCCTCTGATTTATAACCTCATTTTTTAAATTCATTTCCCTTTCAAATTCAGTGTTTCCTGCCCATGTAAATTTCTTCCAGACAGGTAGACAAATCAGATGCCTCCCTCCATCTTGTTGGTTCTTTTCATAGTCTCTCTTTGTTCTTGCCTTGTGTAAATGATTGAGAAAGGAAAAAGAGGGAAAGGTAGGAAACCAAGAAAAGGTAGAAGTGCTGAGGGAAATAAGGAAGGAGTACTGTGAGTTCATAAGTGTTTAGGAGGGAAACACGTGTTTCACAGACACAGAGCCTAGAACGAGAATGCAGAAATACTGGCTTTAACTTAATGTTTTATATTTGCAAGGATTTTTATAGGTGAGTACTTACTGAAGTATTAGAAGAAGGTGGAAAACAAAAGAGGCATTTATTCTTTGGATGCATTAAAATGGGAATTTCACATGTCATGACCTTGCTTTTTCATAGAACGTGACACACTCTGGAAGGCACAAAGGGCACAAGATGCACGTGAGTCGTCAGAACAGCTGGCTGGGAGATATTCTGGACTGGCAAGATATTGCCTCCTTCGTTCATGAGAACATTGAGACTTTTCTTTCGGTAAGACATAGTGGTTATGGTTGAACTAAACTTAGGAAGTAAACAGAAGTAATTTCATCAGTGTCTTCAGCTCCCCTGTTTTTAGTACTGTGGAATGTACAGGCTTTGAGAACTTTACACTAGAAAGCTATCCAGAAGCTGTAGTCAGGTTGGACTTGCCTGATGTTTGCAGGTGGGGTAAGAACACCTGAGAAATGTTGAATCCTGAAGCACGTGAGCAAGCCTGTGGGCAGACAGGGTCTTAGATGGGTGTCCTCATCCCTCAGGGATGAGCTGATCCCTAAGCTGGCATTCTGAGCTAGAGACAGTTTGGAATTAGGGGTCCAGTTATATTGTAGGGACCGACTGTGAAGGCTTAGACTGCTGCTTTCCACTGACTCCTGCCGTGCTCCCCCACCCTGCATCCTTACACCACTTCTCAGTGTTATTCGCCTCTCTTCATGCCCAGAGCTGATTTTGTCAGGAGTCTTGGCATGTGACTCTTCACAGAGAAGATTTTCCTTGTGAATAAACGTGTGACTTTTATCAAATTAAATCGAGTTTTAAGAAATTTAAATTGAGTGAAGTGATCCGTGAGCATAGCTGAAAGCAGGACTACCTGTGTCTCCACACACCGGGCCGGGACTAGCTGTCTCTACAGGACAGCCTTCTCTGGTGTTTTCGTCTGGATTGCTAAGGTGATGTTTACATTGCTCTTTCTTGTTTTACCATTTTAGATATTATCTTTTGGCTTCCAAATATGGAAGATGAAGGTAAAGACGTGACTTTCTCCCAAGCCTTCAGTGCTCTCTGACACTTTTCTTGGGGTTTCTCACAGCTCCCTCAGCCACCTCCCTGTACTCACATGCCTCCTTTCCTCTCATTCAGCTGAGCGGAATTAATAGCTTATTTAATTAAGGAGTAGGCACTTACTATTTTCCTCAGGCTGTCCCTGAACTCATGGCTTCAAGCAGTCCTCCTGCCTTAGTTTCCCGTGTATCTCGCATTGCAGGCATGTGACAGTGTGCCCAGCTGTTTTGTTTTGGTAGTTTCTTTTCTCTGCTTTTACTAGCCTAGTGTTTCTCAAAGGTGTTAGTACAGAACGTCAGAGTGCATGTTTATCTACTCACTAAATAATTTCTCATGATAGCACGAAGGGTCCACTTTAGTGTGTTAAAATACTGTTTTCTGGGGCTGAGGAAATGGCTGAGTGGAAAGTCTTTGCTGCACAAGCATGAGGACCTGAATTCACATCCTCAACACGTGTGTAAAAGTTGGAGGTGGTAGGACACACCTGTAACCTCAGTGCTGGGTGGGTGTGGGGAAGATTGCACAGACAGGTAGATTCTGGGGCATTGCTGGACAGCCAGTCTCTCGGAACCAATGCATTCCAGGTGCAGTAAGAGACTGTGGATCAAAACATGAAGTAGAGAGTGATTAAGGAAGGTAGGTGATGTCCGCCTGTGGCCTCCGCTCTTGTGCATGCACTGGTACATGTGTTCCACACACACGTGCACACAATACACAAATGCATAGTGTATGTCAAATACTGGACTAGCTGTTTTATAAATATTTTCTAATTTAACTCTCCTAAAGTGCCCAGAGAGCTGATAAAACTACTCTTGTTTTAGAATAGACTCAGTGATGACATTTATATTGTCTTAAGTTTTTATTATACTGTCTTTATTTATATAATGTCTTTTCTTTGTGTGAGGGACCAGGTTCTTATTTAACATGTATTGTCTTCAGAACATGTTTTGTCCTTGGGAGAGCTCTAGATCTCTTCCTTTCACACTTTTCTGTCTTTGTTTTATCTTCTGTGCTTTATTAATTTTTTTCCAAATTTTTTTAAGGCGTGGTCTTTGTACCCCAGGTTGTCTTCAAGTTCCGCCTACCTATGCCTCCAGAGTGCTGGAGTCAGCACTTTCCTTTCTTTTCTGATCTTTGGGCAAGTTCCTCAGCTTTCCCCAGGGTGTTTCAGAAGACATGGAAGTTCTCCTATAGTCAGATTCCTCCTAGTTCATTGTTTTCACTCTTTTTTGGGTACTTGCATATATTTTACCTTTTTCAGTATTGATGCTCAGTCTTTCTGAATGAATATAATTTTTTATGATTTATTTATTTTTATTTTATGTGCATGTATTGGTGTTTTGACTTCATTTGTGTCTGTGTGAGGGAGTCGATCCCCTGGAACTAGAGTTATGGACAGTTGTGAGCTGCCATGGGGTGCTGGGAATTGAACCTAGGTACTCTGGAAGAACAACATTGCACTGAGCCCTCTCTCCAGCCCTGAATGAATGTAATTTTAAAGATTTATTTTTATTGGTATTTGTATGAGTTTTTTTCTGCATGTATATGGACATCAGAGAAGGTATCATATCCTTTGGAACTGGGATTGCAGATGGTTTTGAGCTACTATGTGGATGCCATGAACCGAATCTGGATCCTCTGGAAGAGCAGCCAGTGCTCTTAGCTGCTAAGCCATTTCTCTGTGTTCTCTGACTAGATTTTAAGCTCTTTATCACTACTTTAGAATATAGCCTGGTGTTTGTCAACTAAACTAATGAAAAGAGGCACATTTGTAGCTTACTTTAGTATTTTTGTGCTTAAAAGAACAGTGGCAGAGCTGAAATGGTATGCTGAGACCTTTCCATATCCCTTCCTGTAAGGCTAGAGCAGGAAGATGAACCAGAAAAGGCCAGTGGAGCTCATGTAGCCCACATCACTAGGCTCTTAGACTGACAGGGAGATAACTCCACCTTTGCGGAAGAGATGTATTCTCTTATTTTGACCCTGCATCCCTGTAGTGTTCTGTTTTTTCACTTCTCAAAGCTGCTTCTTTGTGCTTCTTGGGTTCTATAGAATTTGGCTCAGAAGTACCTGAGAAGCCAAATAAGTAACCAAGGGTGATTGGATGGTAGTGGACTCAGAAGGGAAGCAGCAGAGCAGGAGGATGCTGAGGCTCGTTGTTAATGCTAACTGCCATCTGTGACCAGGTTATCTGCTTGTGGGTCTCCTCTGGGCTTCATTTCATGGTCTCTGTTCTAGGCATCCTTTTAGTCATACTTCTACTGTTGATTAGATTAATGCCCACCCTGCCTCTTGTTTGCCATTTTTGAGTTGGGATGCATTTTTGCCTCTATGAATCTGTTGCATTTTTCTGAGCTTCATGGGTCTTTACTGATACTTTACTGATATTCTCCTTTCTAAGCCTGGTGATTACGCTAAAATTCTACTTCAGTGATTCAGTTAACATCCCAGAAATGTCCTCTCTGTCTTCTCTAGTTGATCTTCTTCCAAGTAAAAATGGTTTAGTTGGTTGTTGTTGGAAACTGCCAGTCTACAGTTTCCATATTCAGTTAATTTCTTAATAATTGGAGGAGGCTGTTTTTTATTTGTGTGACTCAGAAACTACGTAAATTTTTTTTTAATAAAAAATTCCAGAGTGACTGGGGCTCCCAAAAGAATGCTTGCCAAATTATAAATACAAGCACTGTCTCCTATAATCAGCAGCTTTGTTCATTCATTCTTTATCCTACAAGGTCAAACAGTTAATTGTGCATATTTTTGTAGGCAGAGAGAAGCATTTTCAAGATTTTTTTTGTAAAGGGTTTTTGTAAATGTAGCCCGCCTGTTGAATTCTCTTATGAAGACTGAACTGAGGCTTGCGACAGAATGTTCTTTCTAAATGGTGCATTTGAGGTGGGAGAGGAATGGCAGACATTGCATAGACATGTCATTGTTTGAGCACATGAAAGGACCAGAACTGCAATCTTAGAAAGGCACCAAAGAAAAATTGAGATGTCTGGGTTCTGGTCCCAGCAGCAGCAGCAGCAAACCTCTGTGATTGAGTTCAGATGTCTATAAAGTCATCCACAGCACTGTTTATGGGAACACTTTTAACAGTTAGAACAGAATGTGTCTTCCTCATCATTTTGCTTCCATGTTTTTTATTAAGAGGAAGCACCCACTTGGGAAGAATAGAAGAGACACTGTAAGGGGTTTGAGATGATGAAGGGACAAGAAATGAAAACTTAGAGACATGATGAGACATTGGCATCTTCCTTTACGTATATTTTACATCTAATGTATGCACAGCTGTCTTGAGAACTGGTTCCCATCAGTTTGTAGGTAATAGATCAAGTGAATAGTCTTGATCTGTTCCAGAAAAGGCTGTTGTTGATCCTGTCTCTTCATTATTTTCATTGTGACTTAAAGTCATTGGAATAATACACTGTATTTATGGTTGAATCTGAGTGGAGATGGTAAAGGTAGAGGTATAGTTAGCTAATCTAGTGAATGACCTACCCTAATAACCCTCCAAAATAAACAGAGCCACAGTGTGCTTACGTAGTCTTCTGTAGACATATATATGTATTGTTTTTGCAGTTAAAATTCAGACTACATAAAAATTCTGTTTTTAAAAAAGCATAGTAGAGGCTGGGCATGGTCACACATGCCTTTAATTCCAGCACTCAGGAGGTAGAGGCAGGTAGATCTCAGTGAGTTCGAGATTAGCCTGGTCTACAAAGGGAGTTCCAGGATAGCCAGGGCTGCTACACAGAGAAACCCTGTCTGGAAAAAAACCAATCCAAACAAACAAAAACAGCATGATGGAATAAAATATAGTAAAATGTCTCTGCTAGTTGTCAACCTATTTGAAGTGTTAGTTGGAATGGATTCACTGTAACTACTTAGCCATTTTCTTTACTATTGGACATAGATGTTTCTGGATGCTTTTTCCTGCCTTTAAGATAGGCAACAGATTTTACTTTTCCATTTTAGCTAATAACACAGTGCACTAAAAGCACACTAGATGGCTATAGCTGCTCCCTTTATGAGGAGGAGTTCTGACCCCGCTGTCCTTTCTCATCAGATCTTGGAGTCCCTGTGGATTGTTATGAGCCGGAACGTGAGCCTGCTGTTTACCACGGTTACCACACTGCTGACCATCCTCTTCTACAGTGGCACTGCCCTTCTCAACTTTGTGCTTTCCCTGGTATGTACACAGAGCGCACATTGTATTTCCTTATGCATCACAGATTTTTTTTTTCCGGGCTTCGTATTTGTGCATGTCTGTCTTCTGTAGGTTCTGAAATGTGATTTTTTTTTTTTTTAAGTGATATTGTCCTTTGTTTTGCAGATAATTTTCCTGACCACACTATTTTATCTGTTAAGTTCCAGTGATGAGTACTACAAGCCAGTGAAGTGGGTGATAAGCCTGACACCACTGTCTCAGCCAGGTCCTTCTTCTAATATTATCGGGCAGTCTGTGGAAGAGGCTATCAGGTAGGGACAAGGTTTATGCTGTTCTTACTTTTTTCATAAGCTTCCATGGCATCCCAGTTACCTTCCTTGTAGTTCATAGAAACATTCAGTGTTGAACTAGTGAAGGATGTTGGTATTTTCAAGACCTTTATCTTACTCAAAGAAGGTCTTAGAGGCAGTGCATGTGCTTTGAGGAAAAGTTCCAAGGAGTTTGCCTCTCTACTCTGTAGCTGTGATTTACAAAGACATAATGTGTGTCTACAGATGGGCTTTCCGCAAAGAGGCTTAGTTTGGTTTCCATCATCTTGTTCACTTGCCCAGGAGAACCCCCATCTTTCACCACATAGTCTTCACCCTCATTAGGACCCTTATCTATTCTTAGGAGGTCCAGCCTGGAATTGGGCTGGGGATAGATGACCCTCCTGTTTCTTCTTTCTTGTTGTGTCCAAGCTGTGCCCTCTGCAGGGGTAAGATGGTTATGAAAATTGCTATTTTATTCAGTGAATGCTCAGTGACAGCAAGTGGTTAGCTAAGTGGTCTTAAACTCAGTTACATAGTGGAAACTTTGGCATTTCTGTTTCCGCATACAGTATCATTGTTTGGAACTAGTCATCCACAGATACCTTGAACTGACCTTAATCATTCTTGAATTCCCCTGGCTGCCTTTCCACTATATTAATGAAAACAGCTAGGGAGATAACCACATTGATCTTTGGAAACACCCTTTGGTGTTTGATCTTTGGAAAAGTATATATAGTCCTAGAGTTCATCATGTTTGGAAATGCCGTCAGCTTTTCTCCCTGTTCCTACTTGGGAAGCTTGGAGAAGGTCTTTATCAGTACTTTCCCCCTTGGATTGAACTTGGTATCATTTGGCATTCTAAAAAAATTGCTCTTAACACCTGTCTGGTATCTTTGAGTATTCATGTGGAGAGGTCAAATAAAGATTGTTAGAGAAATAGTTTTAGTATTGCTTCCAAGTCTGTGACCTCTGACATCCTTACTGGATAAATAAAATGATGAAAACTGCAGCAATAGGTTATCTTTTGTGTGTCACTTTTAAAAAGTCTTTTGTAAATATTCTTACCCTAAAAGGGAAAAAATAAAACAATACAAAACAAAAAATATCCCAGTAGCATGAAACTATTGAAATAGCCTTTGCAGCGGCTGGCACCAGTCCTTCTGTCAACACAGCAGAGGCCAGGCTGTATGGAGACAGGTGTACTGCCCAGGAAGACCTTTGAAAGAACAGCAGTGCTCTAGCTTCCCACCAGAACCTCATTCTCACGGAAGTTTCATCTTCCTCAGATTATAGTTCTGGAATGTTCTTACTCTGCTTTCTCAGAGGGAGGAACTTTCTGACTGACACTGAGTTTACAAGACACTTCACAACCTCCCTATCCTAATCTCTGTCTCGTTTGAGACTGGATCTTGCTTTGTCAGCCATGCTGGCTTTGAACTTGAAATCTCCTATCTCTCTGTTTCCTAAGTACTTAGGATTTCAAATAGGTACCACCATGCCAGACTTCATTCATCATTTAATACAGGGGAAAAAAAAAAGTTTAGTATTCGCACTGTAGTCCTGTGGGTGAAAGCTAATGGGCAGGTTTAAGTCACAGACAGCCATTTTCAACTGTGACTTGAGACAAGCTTTTGCAGTCTCCAGCCCTGCATGCTGTTTCTTTACAAGCTTATGGTAAAGACTTAACATGTCTGGGTTTTGCATGGGCTCCTTTCAGGAGTCTTCAGGAGGAAAATGGCAATAAGCTGTGTCTAAGAACCTAAGTAAGAATTTTCATTCTGAAGGATTATGTTCAAGTAGGAATTATGATTCTTTGTAGATGAGGATTAATTGGAAGGATAGATAAACAATTACGAAATTGCAATTTATTCTGTAAATGCTCAGTAATACCAGTTTTATAAATAAGTCATTACTCAGCAGTGTATGGTCAAGTGAAAAACCACTAAGTTAATTTCATGTGATCCTTCAATGAGTTCAAAGTGAAGTGAGGTTGGGAGTTAACTGCATGATGAAGCAGAGTGAGTGTTTCTTAGAATTTGCTGTCTGAGCTGTGTGACCCCTGTGTGATCACCATGCCCTTGAAATTTTGAACCTTAATCATTTTAGTTCTAAATCCATGTTCTTCCAAATTAAGTACATTTGCCATTGAGTTTTCATTTCATCTCAGGAGTTTGAATTAGTAGCATGCATCTTGGATCCCTAGCCATTTTCCTCCCGTTAGCAAGCATGCTGCCTCCCGAATGTCCACGTCACACCCTTCTCCCCGATGCTCCCTTCTGCTTGCTCTGGTGGAGATATTGCACATTACTAAGTTGCATGTTGTCACGGCCTCAATGCAATTTAGTGTGTGTGATATTTTCACGTGAGTGCATGCACACAGGTATGGCTATTGCTTGCTGGGATTACAGCTTTTTTTGTGCTGGAGGGTGGAACTCCTGGTGATGAATTAATTACATGTGAGAATGTATGTTCTGTAAGATTTAATTCAGAGAATGATATGTTCTGAAATGGATATGCTCTTCCCACCAGTTCTGAAAAATTGAAATTATTTTAGTTATTTTTAAAAAGTCAGTATTTCTTCTTAAGTAAATTAATGTTTTCATTTTCAAATATGAATGAGTTGTTGACTAAATGAAATTCTTACAGATTTAAGGGTGTAAACAATACTTGCTTAAAATGAAATGTATAACAATATAAAGCATTTATTTATTTGTTTGTTTACAATATTTTGAGACATGGTTTCTCTGTGTAGCCCTGGCTCCCCTTGAACTCCCTCTGTAGACAAGGATGGCCTTGAACTCACAGAGGTCCACTTGTCTCTGCCTCCCAAGTGCTGGTACTAAAGGTGTGTGTCACCAACACCTGGCATAAAGTTTTTTTTTTTTTTTTTTTTTTTTTTTTTTTTAAAGTGCTTTTGAACTGGATGTGGTAGCATCCAGTAATCCTAGTAATCCTAGTATTTGGGAGGCTGAGCCAGGAGGATTGTTGTTAAGTTCTAGGCCAGTTTGAGCTACATAGAGAGTTTAAGGTTAGTTTGAGTTATTCATCAAGACCAAAAAAAGTCACACACACAAAATAGGTTATGGGATTATTATTTTTATTTGTTTGAGATAGTCTAGTATTGTAATAAAGAGATAAAATTTCTTATGCATATTTTGGGAAACTATATAGAGTAAATAATGCCTCTTTACAGTGATTAAAGGTTAGTGTAATATACTTGAATGTTTATCTTATTAAGCTCAAAGGAAATAGCCTTAAAAAACTTTGTTGTACATGTAGTTTTTCATTGTGATACTTGCTATATATTTGTTTTATTGAACTTCAAAGTTTTTGGTACAGATATGTATTATTATTTGTACTTGAAACCGTTTACAAATTTTAAGAATTGATCATTCATGATCAGTAAGCATTGTTTAGGACACAAAATGTATATTAATAAGTATTAGTGATATAACAGTTCTGAATAAATGTATATCACTCCTGCCAGAGTTCTCAGGTTGTATCCAGAGTTGGCTGCTTCTGACTGTGACCCTCAGCTGTTCACTATGTAAGCTCTGCTTTCCTGCACTGCTCAGCTGCATCTGGGTGCGAGTGCATAGCCATGACCTTGCTTCTTACACTAGAAATCTGTTGTTGCCAGATTTTTGTGCATTGATCATGTAGCTGGTCTCTGAGACAAATGAACCAGGAGGTGGGGAGGGATGTGATATAAGAGAGGTCAGGTGTTTGGGTGATACTAGAAAACCCTGGGCATTTGTTTCCAGACTGTTGTCCTAGAGTATATACACTTGCAATAAAGCAAGATATACGAGCCTTTGATTCCCCTCTTAACTCTAGAGTATGTGTTTATCCTGGAGTTTATTAAGTGTGCAGTAGCATTGCCTCTTAAATGTAATTGTATATATTCTAACTAAAATATCTTCTTAGAGATGCAGTGATGATCATCTGAGTTGTTGGAAAAAGGAATCTGATAAACTGCGTACATTCAGGGTTAACTCAAACCTTCAATTTGTTAAAACTAAAATTTCTGCTTCACAGTATATGAATTTGAAGACACAGTGGTACACCCACGATCAAGGGAGCTGGCACTGTCCCAGTCAGAATGTTGTGCACTGGCTTGGCTGCTCATGGTCCCTCTCCATTAACTTACCCTCTATTTGAGGCACACTGGATTATATTGAGGGTAGAGTGCTCATAAGGTGATGGTAGCCATTGTTTCTAGGTGAAATGATACCCTGGTGCTCTTCCTGTTTGATCTTTAGAGATGAAAGGTGGAAGTAGTATATAGAAATGTGGAGGGGGTGCGGTGTTGTTTTGGACTGGACTCATATTCTGTTTCTTTTCTTTCTTAGACTTGTGCTTCCTGCTTGTCTGTGGTAGGTGGCACTGTGTACTTCTGAGCTGTTATTTGTCGTTCTCATTCTGTAGCTTACTTCAGGTTTCATTTCATCAAAAGTCAAAAAAAATTGACTGATGTTGTCTTGTCTGTTTATTCTTCACTTGAAAAAAATGAAGAGTGCTCATTGATCAGGAATGGGAGAGGGCTCATAGCTGAGACATAGTTGTGTGAATGAGGCACAAAACGCACACCTTTAGTGTCAGTACAGACATTCTTAGGATTATTAGTGGGGAAAGGTGCAGAGGAAAGGCTGGCTGTACCACAACTTTTGGAACTTTTATTCCACAGCGATGTGTGTGTACGTGGAGCATAGCCTTTGAGGAGCAAGGTGGAGAGAGGAGCCTGAGCTGTGGTATCTTGTGTGTATGGGGCCAGGGATTGTCTGTGAGTCTGTAATGATTAAAGTCTGAGAAAGGGAATTAATCTTGTTAGAAAAGGCACCTCAGTGGGTGATGTCAGCTTCTTCTTCCATTGGTAGATGAACTATCAGAAGAGGGGAGAAGAGCTTCCAACATATTCCGAATATGATTCTTGTCAATTGCTGAGTGCCAGGAAAGTCTAGAGACATAGTGAAAGAACTAATTTCCATTACGTTTGAAAAATCGCCAGGGATAAAATGATCCCAGAGGGCTGAGCACAAGCAATAGCTCTTCCCCTCAAACGGAAGAGGTCAAGCCTGAAGGGAAAATGGGTAGCACATGGCTATTAGGATGGTTTCCACCATGCAGACTTTGTTTTGACTTTTACAGGAGGTATTTGGTCATGGTGAGCAGTTTAGAAGAGAATGCCTGTTGGCACTGTGACATCACATAGCACAGATGCTACACAGGTGTAGTTTAGAAATGGCACGAGTCTGTGTCTAGTGGCTTGAGATTAGATGATATATAGCGTACTGTTTTTCCCTGATAGAAAGGCAGGAATATACACATTGTGTTTGGCTCTCCAAAAAAGATTTGGATTAACTGGCATTCACAAGAGAATGGAATGATTTTTCATTAGAAGCTTTGTTCTTACAATGATGAAGCTAATTTCTGCTAGTCCATTTAACTGAATTGTGCATTATTGTATACAGATCATTATTTAGTGCCAGATAAACTTTTCTTTGACTAAGAAAGCAAATTATCAGTAGTCTTGGAGTGAGTGTATGTGTGTGTGAGTGAGTGTGTGTTATGTATGGCCTTGTACATGTTCTTCACAAGTTCTACTATTTAGCTACATTCCTTGTGTTTGAAACTTGCTTTATCATATTGTAAACGTCCATGTGCAGCTGTAGTCAGTACTTTACACTTTGTTTTTCTGGATTGTGGTATCTGGTCATTGGTGGGTACTATAGAGGTTTAATTATACCTACATTATGATTACTTTTAAATACTGGTGATTGAACCCAGGGCCTTATGTGGTAGATGAGTGTTCTATCCCTAAGCTATATGCCCAACTGTCAACTTCTGAATCTGGGAAATGAGTGAGTATAAGTTCAGCATTACAGGTTCTTGTTCATATAACCTATACTTTAAAGTTTAAGTAATACATTTATATTAGCTTCCCGTTAATAGTGTGTCAAATTATCATGAACTTAGTATTTAAAAACATGCATTTTCTAACTTGTAAGGTCAGAAGTCTTAAAATGGAGATATGATCAGGACTGTGGATTCTCTGGACGATGTAGGGGAGATTTGAGGGCATTAAAACATCCTCTCTCTCAGGAAGTGTTGATAAGGTACTGCTCTGCCCTTAACAGATGCTCATATAGCAGGTCATGTGCAGTGCAGTCCAGGTAGTAGCTTATATTCTTATCTCAGGGTGTTGCACAGATATGCTTGGTAACTGTGAACAATGTAGTGCAGATGGTCAGGGACCACAAATTACCTAAAAGTTGCTGCAATGACTCTGTTACATACGGCTCTGGTTCAGGGTGGAAAGAAAGAAGCTGTGCTCATTACATACTTATGATCTGTTTTGGGGTGAGCTGGTGTTTGAGCCACCTGCAGGGGCCTCAGTTGAGAATCTTTACTGCATCCTTGGTGCCAGCTTTTTCTGCAGAAACTTACAAGGTCAGGCTAATGCAAGCTGCATCCACAACTTTTCACAGTAGACAAATTCTGTGACCCTCCCCTCACCCTAGTAGTTGATGTGGTCATTACTCCTCCCCAGCTTCCTCATCCAGTGGCTTCTGAGAGTGCTGCACTCTGGTGATTTTCTCCTACTGCAGAAACCCTTCCATCCCCTCCTTTGCTGATGTATTGTTGTCCGTAGGTCTCCAGAGAATATAGCCAGCCTATTTCCCCTTCTTCTCCATGCTTGGCCCTTGAGGTCCTCTACTTAGACTGCTGTATGTTATGCCTACTAAGCCTCATCTCTTATTCCAGCTTCCTCCCAGATGTTTCCATCATTCTTTTGACTTTTATTTTCCAGGCCAGGTATTCTTCCTTTTTTTAATTCTCCCCTTATCCACGTTTCTGGATACCACTGTTTTTTCCCCATCATTTGTTTTTCTTGGGCTCTTCATTTCATTTGTATCCTATGGGGTGTCTTTCCTCCTTTCTTTCTTTTTCATATATGTAAATCTGGGCCCTTATTGTGAGAGTCACATGACACATTGTTGAGTGATGCCATTGGTAAAGGTGGGAAAAGGTTTTGCAGATGGGGAGCTATTCATTAATACCTTATCGCACAGTCCACTTGCATGGCAGAGTCCCGTGACTGCAAGTCAGCTTGTGCTGTGGGAGCCTCCCTCCTGGGCTCTGGGAGCCTCCCTCCTGAGAATCTTTGCAGAGAGTCTGCTTTCCGCCGTGTCACCCTCGCTGCCACCATCCTCTTTCAGGGACAGCCTCACCTACCTGTGAATGTTTGTCCCTACAGAGCCTCGCCTCTGTGGTTTTGGGGGTTACTTGAGGCTGCTGCCTTTTCCACACAGAACTGATTTATTCTCTTCCAACAGAGAAGCAGAAACAAAGCACTTTCATGTACCATACAATGATCTAACTGTAGGAGATAAGCCTAATTTCACTGCTTTATTTTCCTGCCCAGTCATACTCTGGAGCTAATAATCATGTATTTCCCCAGATGACTTGCATTATTTGATACCAGAAGTTGCTTTGTAGTCTTGTTTTTATAAAGAAATGTGTGACAATTTTAAGAGAAAAATTGAGAGAGTATAGGTTAGATTATTCCTTACTCTTTCTTTGCTGGCCCTCCCTTTCCCCTTCTGTTACCTTTCCTGCTTTCTCTCCTTCTTACCCCCTGTCACTTCCTCTTACATCTTTTTCCTTTCCTTGCTGGGGCTTGGACCCAGAGTTGGAACATGCTAAACCTTACTCTATCACCCAGCCATACTCCAAGCTCACTGGAGGCAATCTGTGTTTCTTAGAACTTAATTCTATCTTTAGACACATGCTATTTATACTTAGGAAATATAATTGTTACCCAGGAAGTACCTGCTTTAGAAATAGAAAGTTGAGACTGGGAGTGTAGCTCTGTAGGGTGCTTGCATAATGCCCAAGGCCCTGAATTTGATTTCCTCCCACCCCCAGCATCCACACAGAATAGAAAGTTGGTAGTTATTTCAGTGAACATGCTATTTTAAGGTGTTTTGTTTGAGTTATCTTCTCATCAGGAAGAAATATAAAGAAAAGTTTAATATGTAGGTTTCAGTATTTTAATAAAATAAGTATATGCTCAGAGAAATGAGAGCTGTTACCAGATTTGAAATAAAGTGACTGGAGACCCAGAGGCGATTTTTCTGCACCACAACATGATGCTGGGATTATTCACCTGTTCTTTTCTTCCTGGGTCTTCTAGGGGGGTGTTCGATGCTTCCCTCAAAATGGCTGGCTTCTATGGATTGTACACCTGGCTGACTCACACTATATTTGGCATCAATATTGTCTTCATACCATCAGGTAACAACAGTACACAGAACTTCCTGGATGACTAGTTAAGGAAAGTTAGACCTTACATTAGAGCTGCCTTCTTCCTCAGAGTTAGGATATCCACCCGGCTGGCTGGAGGTCTCTTCTAGTTCAGCATGTTTGCAATGTGCTTATATTTTGCTATAGTCCTCATATCAGGAACAGTACCCATCACATAGAAAGTCATTTGCAGGGGTTTGTTGAATGAGTAAATGTCCTAACACTTTGTACAACATTGGGCACATAGTTGGCTCTCAAAAATTAATTGAACTAATTGGCAGGGAGTGAGCAGTTTGTTGTCTAATAGTTTGTCCCATGAGGGATACAGTCTCAGGGGCAGGTGGATGTGTCTGGGTGAATTTAAGTGTGGGTATACTGTCATCCATTTTGAGAGCAGCGCCTTCTTTCTACAGCAGGTGACAATCTGGGGTTTTCTTTTGTTGGTTCAGAGCCCTCTTCCACTTTTTCTTTTATTTTGTCATTGTTTCTAGAACCCCCTTCAACTTTTTTATTTTTGTCACTGTTTCTTAAAATGTCCGTCCCTGCCTTTCACATTTACTTTGTTGTCACTCTTCAACTGTCATTCATTTCCCCTTCTTCCTTACATTCCCACATTCATTCATGTTTCTTCCCATTTAGTGGTCTAGTAACCCACCTCTGATTGTCATGTATCCTGAAAGCACAAGAATTTATTGTACAATCATGTTGACAGACAGAAAAGGTGGTGTATAGATGAAAGCCAGCTTTTCAGGGTCACCCAAATGGCTAATGGTTAGACCAGAGCAAGAATCCACGTCTGTGTGGAGCCAAAGAGAGGGAGAGAAGAGAGCTTGAAGTAAGATCCTTCTACTTACAGGACTTTTGTTATATATCAAGTTACATTTAAATTTTTATTAGTAGCAAAGTAAAGAATAAGAATTCAAGCTGAGAGTTAGATTGAGTTGAGGGTCAGGATATTTTGGTCAGTGTTCTAGGGTTATATTTATAGAACTGGATTTAGCCATAGGCCAATAAAATTTAACACTTAAGAATAACATAGCCAGGGGCCAGAGAGATCGCTCAGCATTTGAGAGCATTGGCTTTTCTTCCAGAGGACTTGCATTCGTTTTCTAGTACCTACATAGCAGCTCACAACTGTCTGTAACTCCAGTTTCATGGGATCAGATACACAATTCACAACAACAATGCACAGAAAAAAAATAAATCCTTTAAAAAGAAAAGAAAAAAAACCCCATAAATTTGTAAACTAGACATATTAGAAAAGTTTCAATAACAATTTTTAAGATAACGAACTATTATTTAATTAGAAAATTCAGTTCAATAGGCTCTACCGGTCCTCTAAAACTGGAGCTTGTTTGGGTAGGCTTTATTTTTATTTTATGTATGTAGGTGTTTGATGCATGTATGCATGCATTTATACCACATGTGTACAGTGCCTGCAGAGACCAAAATAGCATGTCATATCCCCTGGAACTGGAATTACAGGGGACTATGAATGCCATGTGAGTGCTGGGAATCGAACTTGGGTCTTCTGGAAGAGCAGTTGATGGTCTTCTCCACTGAGCTGTTTTTCCAGCTGCAGTGGATAGGTGTTTTTAAGGGAGGGAGAAGTAGTTCTTGGGCTCTGCTGCATTGTTAATATTTTGACAGTGGCTTTGATTTGTTTTTCTTTTGTTCCTTTATTAGCTTTGGCAGCAATCCTTGGAGCTGTGCCATTTCTGGGGACATACTGGGCAGCAGTACCTGCAGTTTTAGACCTGTGGCTGACACAGGGGTTAGGATGTAAGGCCATCTTGCTGTTGGTCTTTCATCTCTTACCGACATACTTTGTGGACACTGCCATCTACTCTGATATATCAGGGTAAGTATTCTCAAGTTCTTGCTGAGTTGTAGGTGTTTGGTTAGGGAAGGGTCTAGTGGCAGAATGTTTCAGTTGGATAACCTTTTGTGATCCTTTTGACAGTGAAATTTGGATGTAGAATTATATTGCTGTGATAGGGTTATGATTGTTATTATTTAAGAATAAAACCCAAAGTTAAGACAAAATTATGCAAAATTCTTTTTTTGTGAGTTTTGTGGCATTTGGCCTTGGAAAGAAGTATTGCCAGGCATATCTAAAATATTTTTTTAATTTTTATTTTATTTAAGTTTATTTACTTTGCATCCCAAAGGTGACCCCCCTCTCCTCCCAGTCCTTTCTTCTCCCTTCCCCTGTTCCTTTCCCCCAGAAAATGGGAGCATCTCCTCTCCCCATATCAACCTTTCCCAGCACATCAAGTCACATCAGGACTGAGCATATCCTTATCCTCAGAGGCCAGGCAAGGCAGTGCTGCCAAAGGGAAGTGACCCAAAAGCGGGCAGTAGAGCCCATTTTAGAAACAGCCACCCTCCCCTCCACTTGCCAGGTGACCCACATGAAGACCAAGCCGCCCATTGGCCATATATGTTATGTGCAGGGGACCCACGTCCAGACCATGCATGCTCCTTAGTTGATGTCTCAGTCTTGGTAAGCCCCTGTGGGTCTGGGTTAGTTGTCTCTGTTGGTCTTCTTCTGTGGTTACCCCTCTTCTGGTCCTTCCATCTTTCCCCCAACACTTCCACAGGGCTCTCCAGAGTTTTGCCTCCTGCTTGGCTGCAAGTTCCAGCACTTGTCTCCATCTGCTACTGGATGGAGCCTCCCAGAGGACAGTGATGTTAGGCTCCTGTCTGCAAGCATAGAAGAGCATCATTAATAGTGTCAGGGGCTGACTCTCTATCATGGGGTGCCTCTCAGGTTGGGCCAGTCATTGGTTGGACATTTCCTCGATCTCTGTTCCCTCTTTATCCCTGTGCTTCTTGAGGCAGGGAAGCTTTTGGATCAAAGGTTTTGTGGGTGGGTTGTTGTTCCCCTTCTTCTTCTAGTCCTGCCTGGCTAGAAGGCTGTCACTTCAGTCTCCATTTCTCCCCTGTTAGGAGTCTTAGTTAGAGTGACCTCCATTTCCTCCTAGGAACTTACCCTGTTGCAGGCCTCCAGCTTATCAGAGAGCTATTCCCCTCAGTTACCCTTCTTCTAACCAGCCCTCTCACCTCCCATCCCTGTTCTCCCCTCATCTGATCACTATCCTTGTTTCCGTCCCCATTCCATCTCCTGCCCAGTTCCCTCTCTTCATCCATTTTTGCTGTCTATTCTATTTCCCCTTCTGAGTGACATTCCAGCACCCTCTCTTGGGCCCTCCATGTTACTTAGCTTCTTCGGTCTGTAGATCGTAGCATGGTTATCCTGTACTATAGGTCTAATATCTGCTTGTAAGTGAGTACACACCATGAGTCTTTCTGGGTCTGGGTTCTGTCGCTCAAGATGATCTCTTCTGGTTCCATCCATTTGCCAGCAAATTTCATGATTTCCTTATTTTTTGATGGCTGAGTAGTATTCCATTGTGTCAGTGTACTAGCCTAACATATTTTAAGTATAATAAAGTTAGTGGCAATTTTAATCATGCTCTGCCTTTGAAGAAAATGATTATGTAATTGTGTGTCCACAGATTCCAGTGGAAGGTGAATCTCAGACAGCGTTAGTGTTTGTGTTCTCTTCAGATATATGCATGATTCATGATGAACACAGCTTAAACAGGTTAAACTTTGATGATGTGATAACGCTCTATTTTTCTAGGTTTTATACCTATGTAGAGATTGCATCATGTCCTTGTAGTGAGAATTTTGGAGTTTTGGTTTCTTTAAAAAACAGAGTAACATTATAAGAATAGGTTTTTGTTTTAATCCCAGGTATAGGGATATGGGGCTGCTTTGCAGCCGCTGACTAAGATTTGCCTCCTGCTCTGGCAGGAGCATGGTTTTGCCAGCTGCAGATAGTTTCTGCAAGTGGTAATGTTAGTAATTCTGGGAACTTTTCAAAGGATATATAAATGCTAGAGCATCAATAGGTGTCGCTGATTGGTGGTTGGAGTAGTCTGTCCCAAAGAAGCGAGAAAAATAAATTAGATGCCCTGATAGCAAAGATCAAACCTTCCCAAAGGAACCCAACACCCCTAATCAGTAGAAAGTAGTTTAACATAACTTAATCCTTTCTCTTCTATCCTTTTCTCTCCAATCTAGTATTAGGAGGTTAATAAGGGTGGAAGAGAGAAAAAAACCATAAAGTAGCAAACGCCAGTTACAGCTCCTCAATTGATTATCTTCATTATTAAGATGATGATTGTTTTGAGAAAGGATACCAGCTCATAGTCATCCTGTGTCTGCTTCCTGTGCGCTGTAATTGCAGGTGGGGCTCATATCTGACCTCACTCAGCGTACAGTCACTGAGTAAAAGTCCCTGGCATGAGCACCTGTGGGGTGTGTCATGGTAGTAACATTTAAGAACATACGATGCATGGTGGTGCACACCTTTACTCCCAGCTCTTAGAAAGCAGAAACAGAAGCATGATCTCTGTGAGTTCAAAGCCAGCCTGGGCTACATAGCCAGTTCAAGGACACACTGCCTCAGTAACAAACATCAAAAAATGAAAACAAACATAAAGGCTTAGTGGACAGGGTCTCAGTTTCTAGAAACAGCCATCTTTACCTATTTTAAGTTTTCTAAAACTAAGCTATGTGGTGATTTATTTCTTTTCAAATAAATTAAAGTTAGAAAACAGTGGGACAGCACAGAAGCCCCGTTGAACTAGAGTGAAATGAAAAAGGCAACTCCCAATCCATCCTATAGGGCAATTTATGTGCCTGCAGCTTGAGAGGGAAAAGTAAAATTGCCACAAGTGTTACCCATAGTCTGTGATCCCCAGTGTTTAGAAATCAAGAGTCAAAAAGATTTCCAGTTGGAGGCCCACTTGAGCTACATAGCAAGGTCCCATCTCAATATAAAAAATAGAGCCTGGATCTAGAGAATTGTCTTCACACTTAAGTGTGTGAAGTCTTTAAAAGGACCTGAGTTTGGTTCACAGCACCTACTTTGGTCACTTCTGTAAATGCAGTTTCAGGGAATCCAAAATTCTCTCCTGGGCTGCAGTCATACCAACACATATGCACATACACAGAAATAAAAATAAACCTTAAAATACAAACAAATAAACAATCTGACCAACACAAAGCCTGGCGTAGTGGTGTACACTGTAATCCCAGCACTTGAGAGGCATAGGAATGAGAATATCCAAAAATTCACAGCCAGCTGGTTCACATGGCAAGCTGCAGGCCAGTTAGGGCAACAGAGTGAGACCCTGCCTCAAAGCAACCACAGAACCAGTACTGTGATCAACTGATGTTTTAAAAATTAAGGTTTAAACTGTGTATGATTTACACTTAAGTGCTCCATGTATTTGATGTTAAAAGTTCTCTTTCCCTCACTTTAAGCCTTGAGAATTTCTGATAACAATTTTTTTTTCAAACATTATTTAGGGAAGTCCACTTGACATGTGGGCCACTGCTATAAATCTCTTTGGAAGAAGAAAGAGAAGTAAATTGTGAACATGTTTTTTTTTTTTTTTCCCTGACGTTTACAGACACCAGTGTGTATGTGTAAACACTAATATGTATATAATCAAACATTCTTTTTGCATATTTAATTATTTACCCTCATTAAAATGTTCCACTCATCTGTGTTATTTAAAAACGAGAAACAAATAGACCATGACCTTTTCCTCATCCCTCTTACGTCAGTGGTCAGGGCTTTACTGTGTTGCTATATCTGTCTCACCCCATCCCAATTGTCAGCGATGTCTTGATAAGCTGCAGGGCAGTTATGACTCTTGTGAAATCAAAGTCTTGGACTTTGTTGACAGAGGCCTTCCATATGTGGCTTGTTATTACACTTGCGGTAGTCATAGTTTAGAAGGCTGCCAAAGGTCTAACTCTGAATAATAGGGATGCTGCTGTTAGTATTTTATGAAACTCTAGATGTTTTATTAACCAAATGCCTGATAAATTTCACTCACTATTATCCTTTAAGGAAGTAAACCTAGCAGGTATCTTAGGTAACCAGTCTTCAGCCAGCAGTAACTTTTAGGAAGCCATGTGGAATGGGTACAAATAGCCTGATAACAGCAATGGATTTATTCTTTCAGTTGCTAGTCCTATAAAAAGAGGTAGACGTCACTCTTTGGCACATGTAAGAAAATCCTTGTTTCTCTGTATTTTACACTGTTCTTGATTTTGCATTGATGTAATCTAAAGAAAGCTAGTAGTGGAGTAAAGCTTGAAATACTAGAGGACCAACATTGTTGTTCTTGGGATTTACTCTGAAGCTGGTATTCACTGGGAGTCATGTGTCAACTGGGTGTTTTTTGTTCCAGAGGAGGCCATCCCTACCTGACTGGCTTAGCAGTGGCTGGTGGAGCATATTACCTGGGCCTGGAAGGAGCAATCATTGGGCCCATACTTCTCTGTATACTCGTGGTTGCTTCCAATATCTACAGTGCCATGCTAGTGAGTCCCACGAATTCAGTGCCCACACCAAATCAGACCCCTTGGCCTGCTCAGACTCAGCGGTGAGTTCAGCAGCATGATGGTAACCCTGTGTAGGCATGTACTGCCCTGTCTCTGTTTTCAGTGAATAGTTGCATCTGGGACTTGTCAGGTTAAATGTCTTGAGCACTCATTAGCTATGTAAATTATTGCTATTAGTCCTCAAGGTTTCTATTATAATCTCCGTATCAGATAGTCTGCCTTTTCCACTGAGCCATCTTTCCAGTCCCCTGAATAGTTTTGAACATGGTCTAAAATTTATCGTGTGCTCTCGAGACAGACCTATTTTGTCAGTGTTTTTACCTATATCACTCATCATATCATTGTTTTCTGTTTTCTTCACTCATCTGTTTTCATTGTTATCTGGTATATCAATGTATGCATATACCAGTCTCAATTTTTCAGTGTAGTATTAAAAGGTGTCAAAGAGTTGCCATTTCATGGGTATTAAAAGACAAGATTCTGTTATCTGGTGTGCATATCCTGGTGATCATTGTGTTTCACTTACTTGTATACCTAGAAGTAGAATGTCTACTGTGTAGCAGGTTTTTTTTTTTTTTTTTTTTTTTTTCCAGTGATTTAATTTTCTTTAATGGAGATTTTGTTTCCTTAGTTTATTTTCACATTCAAGTACATGATCTTTTTTTAATTTTTATTATTTTTTAAATTTTATTTTTTTCTTATCAGTTACATTTTATTAACTCTGTATCCCAGCTGTATCCCGCTCCCTCATTCCCTCCCAATCCCACCCTTCTTCCCTCTATGTAGCAGGTTTAATGTTAAAAACTTGCAAAGTAAACCATGGCTCATGCCTGTAACCCTAAAATTTGGGAAGCAGAGGCAGGAAAATCAGCAGCAGCATAATGAGACTATCCCAGAATTAAAAATAAAAGCCTTACAAAATGTTTTTTTTTTTTTTTTTTTTTTTTTTGTATAAAGTATGTACAGCCTAGCAACAGTTCAAATAAAAAAAATTTAAATCTTCTAGAGACTTTTTTCCCCTCAAGACAGGGTTTCTCTGTGTAGCCTTGGCTGTCCTCGACTCACTTTGTAGGGCCTCGAACTCACAGAGATTTGCTTGCTTTTGCCTCCCAGAGTGCTGGGATTACAGGGGTGTGGCACTGTGCCCTGCTTTTAGTTTACTGCTAATGATGGCTAAGAAAAGTCAGTTTTCTCAAAAAGAAAAGAGCAGAGGGACACAAGTGACTGACAGGCCTCACCAACTGGGGCTGGTGACACGAGCACTACATCTTTCCCTCCTGTCCTTTTTTTTTTTTTTTTTTTTTTTTTTGAGGCAGTCCCACTGTGGAGTCCAGGCAGGCTGAGTTTGCAGTCCTCTCTAGCTTCCTGATTATGCTGTTTACTACCATTTCAGCCGGCTTTGCCTCTTGACAGCAGGGGCAGATTGAAAGGACAATGTCTTCAGGGTACTGGAGAGAGAACCACAGATTTTGTTAATGTTTTGCTGTTATCTTCTTGTGGGGGGAGTCTTCTAATGATTTTTAATAATATAAAACAAAATTCACTTTAAGATGAAACAAAAGAAACCAGTGTATAGAGATGAGACCTTTTTCTCTTCTCCTGAGAGTTAGAAGTTGTATCCTTGGGTCAGGGGCACTGGGAAAGATGATGTGAGGACAGTTAGATATCCACAATTCTTTCCTTCAGGCATTTATCCCTGTGGGCAGTTTCACCAAGTTTATTGTAAAAAAACAAAGGCTTTGGCTTTTCCTGGCACCAATGATATCAGATAGTGAAAGTTTTTGTTTTTTGGCTCATGTTAAAAGTGACACTGAAGCCATAGGTGGGTCGTTATGTGTGTGACTTTAATGTAATTTGACAAATCCATTGCCCTGTGCAGCCCTTAATAGCTATGACTTTGGGTCTCTCTGTGGGCTGATCAATTCCTTACAGAAAGATTTCCAGATCTCCTGGCTGGTGTACAACAGACCTTTCTATCCAGTCCAGATGCCAGCTGGCACTTGGCAATGTTCCCATAACTTGTCCGATGAGGGAGAGCAACAGTTCATGTCAGGTGATGAAAATGCCTCCCCATATCTGCTAGGAACGCCTCCTTGCAGGGGGTGGGTTCAGTGCTGCACCAGGGTCTCCACTTCCTAACAGGAGTCTGTCGTCATTTTATCTCATCTATAAGACTTACTGTCTCTAACAGCATCATATCTATTTTCTAGCTAGCTAGAAGTTCTAAGAGCCAAGAAGCTGCCCCAAAGTTGTACAACACTTCTCTGTAGCATCTCATTAGCCAAAATCTAGTCATATAGCCATATGCGCTTTAAGTAAGCCTGGGGAAGTCTTTGATAAGAGACAATATACTCAGCCCCAAACTGGGCTCGTGCTTATTAAAAAACAAAACACAAACAGTCTTGTGGGGGCCTGGAGAGATGGCTCAGTGATCACTGAGTGAGCACTGTTTGCCCTTCCAAAGGACCCGGGTTCAATTCCCAGCACTTACAACTGTCTGTAACACCAATTCCAAGGGTTTTAACAGTTCACATTAATGCACATAAAATAAAATTATCTAAAAAATATTAAAAATAATCTTGTGAAAATATAAAAATAGTGACTTCTTCTGTCCTCCACATTGCATGGCAGCTGTTCCTGGGATTGCTTCTCCTTTCTTCCTTCTAACTTTGTTTTTGTGGTTTTACTATCCCTGCTTCTTTCCATAGCAAAACCAACTAACCATTCTGGTTTTTTTGTTTGTTTTTCCCAGGCCTTTTCGTGATATTGCTGAAGATCTGAACTCTTCAGTAGATTGACCTGGCTTTACTGTAGTGACTTCTCGGGAGTTCCACCTTGACAGAGAGTCCTCCCAGCTGCAGCCTCTGTCCAGTCAGCTATGTCTGGCAGGCAGGGGCGCCCAGAAAAGAAGCAGAAGCCTCCCAGCCTTACATGCAGAGCACTAAGTGAGAGAGAAGTTGCTCTAGGCTGCCTTGCATTTTAAAACACAGCTTGAGAGTTGAGAACTGTGTTTGCTCACAGCTATGGTAAGATGGCTTGAAATGTTACAGTTCATGCACTGACACAGAGGCCTGAAATTGCCCCTCTGTGATTATCTACTGCAGTATATTTATAAAGTTATTTGAAGGATTCTAAAATACCTTTTAAAGGATATTCTGTGTAATTTTTCTCCTGCTGTAGGAGTTTTTAGTCTCTTTTCAGCGACAAGGCTTCCCTTTGGCATATGGTTTAGTTAGCAGGAAAAGTATGTTTTGATACCCTTTAAAATAACACCATCCTATTCTTAAGAGGAAAGGGGTCTTAGGGGTGAAGCTGACATGTGTGTGCTGTGACCAGAGAGGCAGCAGGAAGGGAACTCTTCTTCCTCTTCCTTCCCTTCACCACCTCCTTTCAGCGTTGCCAAATTTCTACAACTTGCCTGACCACATTGAATGATGATCCTTATTGAGCTGCTATAAACGGTAACGATGTGAGAGGATCCTCCCTGTCAACTTTTCTCTTTTAACTGTTTCCCAGGAGAAACCTTTCAGGTGTAGTGGCCCTCTGGTTTGTTCTGTGCCCAGTTGGTTTTTCCGCAGCAGAACTGCGTATTTTCTTCACTTAGCACAGTGCCTTGCACATGGGAGTTTAAATGAATGCTTGCTGAGTCTCACTGTAACAGTGTATGTGTCTCATAACACATAACCAGCATAGTGCTTTACATACGTACAGCCCTTGTGCATAGTACTTCACACGCACTTCACATCAGCTCTTGCACAGTGTCACACTGGTAGGGGGCTAAGCTTTAGGACAGTGGCCAGTGCAAAGCCAAGTGTTATAACTTGTCTCCTGTCTTCTGACATTATATCTGCAGTGTCATAAGGCACTTCTTAGGGCCTTGGCAGCTTCCCAGTCCCAGGCGTTGTCATTCATTCATTACAAGTGAAAGAAAGCTTGACCTGCTTCATGGCAGGGCCGAAACTAGAGCTGAGCTCCTAGTCTTGTGCCTTTTCTAGCTGTTTAGTCTTCAGGCCTTCTAGTGCTTCTGAGGGAATATGCAGCAGAAAGGATTTGTGTCAAAGATTTGTTTGTTTGTTTTTAGCATTTAAAACTAAAATTAATTTTTCCTAAAATATCTCACTAAATTTATTCCTGGTATGATTAGTAAAACCCACCCACAGCAGTGTCTCTTGACTTGCTGTGTGTAGTATAGCACATACAGGTCTCCTTATTGTATCATGAGCCCTTCAACATATGACCTGCTATTCCATCATCACCTGTTAGATTTGAGCACTAAATCACTTACTCTGTTTTTTAGTCAGTTGGTTATTTGCTCATGAACAGATTTCTTGAGCATTAGTAAGCTCTAGGTACCATGCCAGAAACTGTACAGGGTCTGTGAGAGAGAACCCTTAAGGCCGCCTCTCTCACCTTCCATGCCAGCCAGCTCATGAGTCACACTAAATCTAAATTCTTGCATTAAAATGGTTGAGGAGAGAAAACAAGTTTGTGTTTGTTTACTATATCATGATAAGTTTATAGCTATAATTAGCACATACTCATAAGAGGCAAATGTACAGTGACTTTGTGTGCATACACAAATCACGTTGCTCCAATGTGCTTTTAGCCACATAAAAGCAAAATTGCAAAAACCCAAGTTTGAGCTAATTCATAGCTGTTGGAAGGATAGTTCTCAATTTGAACGTGCAGTTTTTTGATGGGAACTCTGAGCTCTAAGAAAGTAGTTCAGAGCTTCCTAAAGTAGTGGCAGTGGTGTAAGCCTGTTCTGAAATTTTAGGACCACTGAAACCACTCCATTGCCATAGTAAATCCAGGAAGGCCATCAGTTGGAATCAGAAAAGCATCCTGGCATATGCCAGGCACAGGAAGGAGGTTTTACAGAGTGTTCCTAAGGCAGATAGAGAGCAGATAGCATAAAGAGTTAGTCTTTAGTTTCAGTCCCTCACTTACCCTGAAGAGTTTGCATGGACTTTGACCTGGGAAAAAGGTCCCTTAAGATCTTAAGAGAGGGTATCTAAGCTTGGCTTGTTTTGTTTGTTTGGTGTGTGTGCATGCATGTGTAAACAGGACCTCATAGCTCAGGAAAATGCATCCATGAAATGAAAGTAGCTTCGGTAAAATTGAGGACAGGAATCTGTCATAGCAGCTTGGATTGCATAAATTAAGGGTTAGTTTCAAGTTCCCTTTCACTGTCAGTTTTAAACTAGGCACAGGGGAGCTGAAAAGCTGTGCACACCAATTAGCGCCTGTTTTTTTGTTAAGAGAACGAGGTGCAGGCCTGGAAGTGTAAATTCCATGTTATGTACAGCCTCTTTGGCTCCTAGATATTATGAATCTGTGAGTCTCCTAATCTTTCCTCCCTAAGAACTGGCTGCTTGCTTTTGTGCCCTGAGATGTCTCTGGGTTAGCTCTCGACTGTGGAAGGACCAGGGTGCATTAAGTAGAGACCCTATGTCCAAACTCCGTGGCTTTGGGGATGGCATGTCCCCGTGTACAGGCAGCGGAAGCACTGGCAGGGCAGGTTCTTCCATCTAAGTTTGGCATTGGTAAGAACTCAACCATACTCTTTTGGGACTTCATCATTCCTCCATTTTCCATCTTGTTTGGTGACTGTTTGAGAAGTGTGGCAGAAAATGCTGGGAACTCCAGGCCAGTGGGGGTTAAACTAGAATACATTCATTTAGGTGATATTGGAGGATTTAACCTAGTTTATGGGAAATACCCTAGGTGATATTGGAGGATTTAACCTAGTTTATGGGAAATACCCTCAGGACTTCCCATACTCCATTCCTGGCCTTCCAGTATTTTTTGAGGGTCCCCCACAGCCTTTCCAAGAGTATCACATTGGGACTTTGAGTTCCCTTTTCACAATGAAAATTTCTTATGGCAACATACTCCCAAATTCTTGTTCCTGCAAAGAACAGCTACTATTTATTTTTCTACTTATTTATTTATTTATTTATTTATTTTTATCAGTTTTTTGTCTTTGCTCATTTTGCCATCAAATATTATTAACTCACTAAGATCTGAGAAAAATACCTACCCAAAGCCACAAAGCAGCTTTCTTGATAGCTTGAAAATACTCCGAGAACTGTAGGTGAAGAGTCTTCTTAGCAGCATCACAGAAGTTTGGTGATTGAATGGGCTATTGTAGTGAGATGATATAATTGTTTTAGAGAAGGAAACAAATTTACTGGTTAAGTAGCTTATTGTAACAGCCAGTTAACAACAAAATAAAAGTGGAGTACAGATCCTCTCCCTCAGCCTGCCTTCTGCTTCTCTTTCCTTTTTCTCATAGCTCAGCCACTTTTGTCAAAAAAAAAAACGAAGGAAGGAAGGAAGGAAGGAAGGAAGGAAGGAAGGAAGGAAGGAAGGAAGGAAGGAAGGAAGGAAGGAAGGAAGGGGGTTCCATATAGTAGTTGTTTGTACAGTTAATAAAGTTGTAAGAGAAAAACTGCTATGGGAGGGGAGATTAAAATTGAGGAATGCCTAGTTATTTCCTTTCCCTGGGATGTCTATGAGTTTTTATTATGTCACAACACATTGTGAAGGGAGGAGGGACCACGTGTTGCACTTTATGTTGTGCCCCTATTCTTTCTGAGCATCTCAAACGACTAGCTTTTGATCAAGTTTATAGATCTTTTAGAAGACTATAGGTAGTGAAAATACTGGCAGGGAATTTGTTACCATGATACCATGGATTGGTAACAAGTCCCAGCAGTCTACTGAGACACCAGCATTTGCTGCCTAGAGCTGCACTTGCAGGAAGGAGGTTCTTCCCATTTGTGGCACCCCAAATCAGTGTTTATGCTTGACTTTGCAAGACATCCAAGAATCGGTTAATGGGAATACATTGGTGATGCTTTTGTATGGCACTTTATAACTTTCAGACACCTTTGGACAACCCTGTGAGCTAGTCATTATTATAGTCGTTGTACAGACTGGAAGCCCTGAGAAGTTTGATCCCCATTCCCCCCCACGTCCTGCCCTCCTCTCTCCGAAATTTACATATAAAAGCATGGAGCCAGAATTTGGTTACAGAGTATCTGACTCCAAGTCCAAAGTTCTTTATTCTGGTCTTTCATTCTAGCTTTATGTACGCAATAAAAAAGGTATGGAAAGAAACATTTTACCATTGTTTTTTGCTTATTGTGAAATCCCAAATCTTTTGTATCAGAGTGACCCAGAAGTGTAACTCTTATTGCAGCTGTCCTAGAGAAAACTCTGTCCTTGCAGTGCCTCTTGTTCAGGTACTTGGATTGTATTTCAAATACTGATTGATTGTGAAACTAAGGTTGAACATATCATTGTAATTATTTATCTCTGAAAATGTATCACCTCTGCATTCTCAGGTAAAAGAGAGATGATTTGAAAGGAAAAAGTGTTCAAATGCAACAATAAATATCCTGTATTACACAAATGCCGTTTCTTAGCTTTATTTGCTTTCACAACTTACTGATGTAATAACATCTTTGTAAAAAGTAAAATATTTATATTTTGAAATAAAGTTAACAAATGTTGAAATAGGTGATAAACTTAGTCTCTTGTTTCTTGAGAAATTTGAACTTTATCTAGAATTTCCCTGCATATACTACCATTGGCGCCATTATCTATACTGGTGCCAATATTTTTTTTTTTTTTATGAAATTTGGTCATCTTACATGAGGGAAACTGTCTGGGGAGTGGATGTGTGAACCCTCAAAAAGCCAGTGGATCCATAGCTGAGGCAGAAGTCCCCCGTGCATTGGAGGGAGGCAACAGCCCGTATAAAGTGTGAGGGTGGTTTTGAAGGTAAAAAGTTGGAAGACGGGAGACCTGGAGAGGTGGCTCTACAGTTAAAGGTACTGCTCTTCCAGAGGACCCAAATTAAATTTCTAACCCAGGTAATGGACAGCAGGTAAGCACCTGTAACTCCAGCTGCAGGGCATCTATATGTCCTTCACAGGCACTGCACTCATGTGCACATGTCCACAGAATTTAAGAGAAAAAAGAATTGAAAGATGACTTGAATTCAGGAGCTCTTCTTTTTTAGAAAAGCCGCAGGTTTGCTGTCTCCATTACTAGAGTTATCCATGCTGTTTGGGCAGATGAAGCTGACCCCTGCAGCTTCACTTCCAGCTACAAGTTGAGCCCATCCGGCTAGCTGGATGGATGGGGTAAGCCTGTCTCAGATTCCTTTTTGCCCCAGTGGATGCTCATTAGCCGCTCTGATCCCTCAAAAATAGTTCTCCAGCTTCTCAGTCAGTTGCTTGAGTCTAGAATCCTAAAGATGCAGGCTTCTGAATGCCTTCCCTGGCTTTGTTCCTGGGAAGCAGAGGAAAAGGAGCACACCCTCTCAGCACAGGGATTGTGTGTGAGCTCATGGTTGGGCTGAGGGAATGGTTTCTTAGCCCTAGGTGACTTCAGTCAGAAATAGGCATATCTTTTCATTCAAGGAGCAATTAACACACTGCTAGTTCTTGCCTAATATTAAAAATACCTGTGAAAGTATTTAGCAGTAAACAAGACGTGTGTCTAATTCTCTTGAAGAGATGAATTCTAAAGACATTGCCTTCTTGCTGAGTGTCAAGATATTTATGTGAACTTACTATCAAATGGTTCAACTCCGTGTAAAAGATACATAATCAGAAAATAGGAGTGGAGGGGAAATGGGACAGACTTTCCCGGGAAGGCATGGACAGATGATTACAAGGGTAATTGCCGTCTCAAGGCTGAGGATCCCTACCATTTTTCAACCTCATCAAAACACGTAGGAATATTTATGGGAATTCAGAATTGGTTTTTGAGGCAAATGGGAAGCTTTGTTGGGAAGCTTTGTTGGGGGCAGTTGTCTTGAAAGCCACGTGAACATGGAGAGTCCCTCAGGTGTCTCCAGGTAAAAAAAGATTTGGAACACTAGAATGGCCTAGGGGGCGGGCCAGCAGAGAGCGGAGCTGGCGGGGTCGCGCAGTGGCAGTGGTGGCTGGGGCCTCCCAGGGATTGGGGCGGAGCTAGGGGTGGTCCCGCAGTCAGTCCCAGGGGCAGAGTTTGATGAGTCCGGACTGCGGGGCGTCAGACTACAGGGCGTGTGGGCGGGGTCTAGAGATGGGCAAGGCTGGGGCCAGGGGCAGAGCTAGCTAGGGTGGAGTGGCCTTAGGGGCGGGGCTACCCGGCCCGGGGTCGCAAGGGGGCGGGGCCGAGGCGGTGGCACAAGGCTAGGGGTGGGGCCTCGTTACAGCGAGGCAGCGGGCAACCCGCGGGCTGGTTGGCGGGCCCGCGGTGGTGCGGAGAGCTGGCCGTCCGATCGGTGGAGGGCCATGGCCGCTTCTCCGGTGCCCGGCGGCGGCGGTGCCGGAGCTGTCCACTCCTCCAACGCACCTAGCTTCGCCTTCGACCCGGGACTGGAGATCAGGACGCGCTCGGTGGAGCAGACGCTGCTGCCCCTGGTTTCTCAGGTACCGCGGCCCCGGGTCCCCGTGTGCGCGGCCCGCGATGGCGGCGACCGCTCTAACCCCGGTCCGGCATGGCGGGGCTGGAGGCGGCGCTGCCCCGCATTCCGCGAGCGCGGCGGCGTCAAGGCGGGACTCGCGTGGGGGCCCGGAGCGGGGCGGCCACCCTGGGCACACAGTGAGGTGCTCGAGCCCAGCAGGTGCGATGTCCGGCCTAGAACGCCCAGACCCGCCTGGCGCTGCGGCTCCGGCCGAGGGAGGCCCGGCCGCGGGACGGTAGCACCCCTTCGGTGTCCCCCGCCCCCCAGAACCGAGCGGGCCGTCGCTGCGCAGTCCGCCGCCGTCGCTGTCCGCGTCCCGGGCCAGACCCGGGCGCTGGGCGCACACTAGTGCATGCCAGTGTGCCTCCCACCCCTGCTTGTTCTTCAAGGCCTTTGTCCCGTCCTCTTGGTCGAGTGTGGGCTCGCCCAACTCCCACCCACTCCGGCCACCTGTCCTGTCCCTCCTTGACACTTGCCTATCCACCTTTGTCTGCCTGTGCTTTGCAGTGACAGGAAGGAGTAGTGCTTGAGGCTTTGTCCCAATGCACACTTTTTGCCAGGTCTCAGTTGGGATTAGTGCATTATTGTATTTGTGGGTTATAAAAGAAGCCTGTAAGTAATGTGCTTAATTAAAAAAAAAAAAAAAAAAAAAAAGGTTTGCTTCTCTGAGCTAAGGTATACATAACCCGAGGGCTAGAATTCCTCACCTACAGTACTCTGCCAAACACCAAGTGAAGAATTTTGTCTTTGGCTGCGTGTTGGCGATGTGTGACTCATTCTAAGCTTGTAACATCTTGGTGACTCATACCAAGGTTACCAAGATTTTAGAGGTAGAAAGAATCTTAAATTATCTTATCTGACTCTAAATTAAAAAATAATTTCTTATAACAACCTCAACATCTGGCCACCAATGTCTTACAGAAACACGTTTAGTGAAGGGGAGTATTCCATAGATTTTTAAATACCGCCTGTTCCAGGCTGGTCCTGAGAATATGTGAAAATTGTAGTTATCTAGTTCCTTAGATTCTCCTAATGCTAATTAAATGGATATCTACATTTTCCAGCCTGCATTCTGTAATTAGTGGAGGAATGGTGACCACACCTGGCACTCCCTATGTTTTTTCTTCTTCCTGAGTAATGGATGCGTGGCTCAATGGAAAGAGTGGTGCCATTGTTTTCTAGTGTCTTCAACTCCTTACACCCTGGACAACTCCCCTACAGCACCATCACCCCAGAGTGGTGAGAAGTGCGTGAGGCGTCTTACAAGGGAGAGAGAGGGCCTTAAACCTCTAATGCTTTATCCATCTGTTTGCTTCAAGCTGAGCACTTTGCCAGTGCTACCTCATTTAATTCCCATCCGCCAGGAGAGATAGATGCATCTTCTTCTTGTGAGGCAGATGAAGAAATCCATGGCCAGTTAGGTCAATTAACCTGGTGTGAGGGATTTCAACTCTTAAATACCAAACTGGGTTTTGAATCCAGGCAGCTTGGCCCCAGTAGTCAGCTTTTACCTACTCCTGTGTTCCTTCTAGAGATTAGAGGAGATGATGAGGTCAGCGAAGAGTAGTCACACAGAAAAAGTTCCACAGTAGGAAAACTAGCCAGAGAACTGCAATCTGGAAAAAAAAAAAGTAAGCTTTGCTAAAAATGTACCAGTACTATGAAGTTTTATTTTTAGTTTCAAGAGATGCATAAAGCATGGTTAGGGTGCTTGATTAGCAAATCAGGGAAGTACATAAAGATAGTTTAGACCGCTTTTAAAGTTTCAGTGAGTTTAAGATATTAAAACTGGAGCTGGGGACGTAGCTCAGTTGGAGTGCTGGCCTTTCCTACACGAAGTCCTTGGTTGATTCCGAGGGCTGACTTTCTGTGTGTGTGTGTGTGTGTGTTTGTATGTGTGTGTTTCTGTGTGTATGTATGTGTGTGTATGTTTGCATGTGCTGAGGGGGCAGCTCTTTGGAAAACTCAGATGCCCAAGTATTTCTCTTCTAGGGAGATAACACTGTTATCCAGCTAATTCCCAATTTCCTAAGGATATTTTAAGTACTTTAAGCAAGGATTTATTATGGTTGCTGCTCTTTAAAGGGTGTGTATTTTTAGTTGGTCGGTAGGGAGTGTATAGAATAGCAAGCCCATGTCAAGTATCAAATGAGCATTATCAATAATAAATGCTGTGAGAGCTCACATGGTTGAGTCAGGATGACACTGTGAAGGAGACATAGTTTGAGGTAAATTAGTAAGGTTACCATCATGCCATGTGACCCTCCCAGTGAAAGTCTTGACTTTTAGGTCTTATTCTAGGAAAGGAAGGTTTTGTCGGCATCAGAAAAATATGTAAAGTTTTCTGTCTTCACAGACTAGACTGTGAATTATTTTCACAGCAATAGATATAGAAAGAACTTTCTCTTCCATTCAACTTCTAATTATGACAAAATTATTTTGTAAAGTATGAGTAGCAAATGTTTTCCTTGCTGGGGATGTAGATCAATGATAAGAGTGCTTGGCAAACATGGAAGAGGTCCTGAGTTCAGTCCTCAGCATTGGGGGGTGGGAGGGATGATGCTGAAGGGCTAGGGAAATGGCTGGATGGGAAAGATTTTTGCTGTGCTAGCATGAGGACGTGAATTTGGATCTCCAGCAGCCACGTAAGAGCTGGCATGGGGTGGAGTTGGATGCTGAGAACTTGCTGACAGGCTAGTCCATGAACTTCAGGTTCATTGAGAATTCTCTTAGAAAACAAAGTGCAGAACAATTGAGGAAGACATCTGGTGTTGACCTCTTTCCACATGCATGCACAGGCACCAGTGTTTGCACAGACAGATACACACACATCTCTCTCTCACACACACACACAGAGACAGACAGATAGAAATGTTGCTCTAAAAGCCTGTGTTAGCTGATAAGGGTATCTGCTGGAAACATGATATAGCAACAGTCAAATTTAAAGATACCTTTCTTTTAAAGGCAGAGAAAAGAACCTGCTATCACAGATCCTATGCAAACTATGCCAGAAATCCCAGCCCTTCTATAAGATAAGGAGGAGAAACCAAAGGTACAGAGATACAAAAAGAAAAACCAGGGCTCCCATTGTATTAATAATTATCAATATTAAAAACTCAAGTTAGAAATAGCATGTTTATAAAGTGCTAAACTCAGATACATTTCTCTACATTAATAAACAAAAAATGTCATTAAAATACAAATTATAGTAAGACAGTAAAATATGGGGCTACTAGAAAGATTTGCATGTATACATAGCAAAGAGAGATATCAGACTATGGAGAAAATTTTATTGGAAGCCAAAGTAGATATTGATGACTGAGAGAAAAGTACTATGTTCATGCCTAGATCCACAGAATGTTAAAGACACAGCTTTTGCTATTGATTTTTAAATTTAATGCAATTCTAATGAAAATTCCAACAGAATTTGGGATAGGATGATTTGATTAATTCTAAAAAAAAATATATATATATATATGAAAGACCAAAGAATCTACAACAGCCAGAAGCAAAGCAAGATGTGTGGACTTATTCTATCAGAATCCAGATGTGGTAGTGTATGCTTTTAGAGCCAGCATTTGTGAGTTGGACGCAGGCAGATCACTGAGACTTGGAGGCCAGCCTGGTCTATATAAGCAAGTTCCATGCCACCATGGCTACATAGTGAGACCCTGTCTCTGACAAAGAAAAACTGAACAGGGAGGCATCCTGGTACACGGCTGTAGTCCCAGCACACATGAGACTGAGGCGAGAGAATTATTCAATTACAGGCCACCCTGGGTGACATAATTAGGCACTGTCTAAGAAAAAGGTCGATACTACCAATGCCCTAGTGATTCAACTCCTGTCTGTCTTTCAGAGAAGCCCCCGTGTATATTTATGAGATAGACTATGAGTATGAATGACATTTTTACTTGTGAGGGTCCCAAACTAAACACTACCCAAATCTCTTTTAACAGGAGGGTTAAATAAATTGTGCAGGGTTTGGCCCCTGAGAGTTCAGGTGTGAATGCAGTGACTGAGCCACAGCTGTGATTCTCTCCCTCTTTTTGCCTGTTGTGGATCAAACCCACGGGTTTATGAGACCTAGGCAAGCAATGAGCTACACCCTCAACTCTTAGTGTTTTAAAACGGTGTATCTTTATAGCCCAGGCTGGACTCAAACTCACCACCCTCCTGCCTCCACCTCCCAAGTCTAGGAGTGTAAGTGGGTACCACTGCAGTGGGTTCTGATGTTGCGTATTTTAGAATCTGAACTTTTTTTTTTTAAGCTCCAGGCTAAGAACTGGGCACATTTTCAGTGGAACTACTCCCACCTCTTTGAACAGTCATTTCATTTTTTTCCTGTCACCACCCTCACTCCTGTAGTGTTTTTATCTAAGGAAAGGAAGAAGGATGCCTCCGCCCTGGTGTGGAATGTCATTTTCTGCCCTTGAGGTTTTCCTGTGTGTGCTTTCCTCCAGTCATCCATCCCATCAGGGACCTTTTCATTTCTGAGGTAGCTTCACTTCATTCTTCCCATCTCTTTCTTTGCCTTGGGAACACTTCAGAATCTTTCTCTTGGTAGGATTTGGGAGAAGAGAATAGATAAGTGTCTTTCTCTTTCCCCTGCTAATTGGTGAAGTGGATGTAAGTGTGCTTTTGATAGCAGAGATAAAGGAAAATTGAAATGTTAAAATGAGGCTGTAAACAAGTGAAAATGCCTGCGTCTTTTGAAAGCATCTGACCTTGAATGATGAGTTCACTTCCATATTCTATGCAGCAAATAAGGAAATTTTACATTCTTAATTCTGAGAATTTACTGATGAGTTAAATCCTAACAGAAACTTCTCCATCTCAGACTGGCTTTTAGGTTATTCTTTAAGTCCTAGAGAATTGGACTTTGGATTTCCTTTCTTCCCAGCTTCCTGTTTTTCTTGCTTTCTTGCCTCTTCACAAAGTAGTTTTAAAAAAAAGCCTCTGTCA